AGTAGAGCACAGTACAGTACTGTACTGTACTGTACACTGTACACTGTACAAAGAGGACTGTACAGTACGACCAGTGTCCACGGTCAGGCAAAAAACACTCGACAGTAAAGTACAGTACAGCGTCATTGCAAAGTCTTTGCAGACTGTCCAGCGTTTTCCCTTGAAATTTGAAACTGAATTTCCTACCATTTTCCTTTCATTGCATACGCTGTACTGTCGTGGCTAAAGGACGGTGTCATGACGCATGTCTGTCTGTACTTTTTTCCCAGCATTCAGGCTCAACGATCAAAACTACGGCACTGTACTAGACCTGAGAACGGTCCGGCTCGAACCGGTTCAATTTCATGGTGACAGAAGACTGTACTCTACAGTGTACAGTGTACAGTACAAGTGCACTTCCATGCCAATACAGGACTGGGCACTGTACTGTACTGTACTGTACCCTACTCCTGTACTTAACAGTTCTACCAGTATCAACGGTGAGGCAAAAACAATCGACCGCTGTACCGAACGGCTGTCTGTCTGTACTTTTTCAGAGCTTTAATATTACTATACACAGGAAAGACTGAATTCGGTATATCCCTGTCCCAAACTAGTCCCCAACTTGGATAAAAAACATCCATTCCCAATTCTCTCTTTGCAGGCAGTTTTATTCGATCAAAAGTTGGCACTGATCCACTCGTGTCATGACAGAGTGCCATCGCATCAGGTGACCGTATCGGACAACATTGGCATTGCTTTTGTACCTACTGTACAGTACTGTACTTATGGCCTGCTTGAAGTGTTGAAAGTTTCTGTTCCAATTTGCAGGATGCTTAAGTGAGAAATTTCTCGGCTGCCGTTCACGCAGTCAGACAGTGTCGTATGTTGTCAACTTGATGATTAATTTACTGCAAATATACTATACACTACTATACATGACTCATTCACTCCATTCATCAACAGTGGGTCGGGGTGACCATATGGTCAAATCATCATTTTACAAGTTTGTGAAATGGACCCATTTCAATTTCAAGTCAATTTGTAATCGATGCTAATCAATACCAATATCACGGTATGCTCATCGGACTCTGCTGTAATAGGGTAGTAACACAAAATGAAGTACTGTAAGTTAATGTTCGCAAACATGTACTGTATAATATAGTGTACGTCTACTGTACAGCACTGTAGTGTGATTAGCAGTACAGCAGCAGCATCCTCTGCAGACTACACCGCAGTCGTGAACCAGACACTGCGGAAATTGAATTAAAATACGTCAAAATGGAACAACATTTCCATCAACCTTTCGTCTCGACAGCATATCCATCAGGTCATCCAGGATTCATCGAAATTATTTTCAACTCGTCATTCACCGTTCTTTGTAAGTTTTTTAGTCTTTTCCAAGGCATTCTCGCTTCAATCAAGCAAATTAAACTAGATTGAGGCTGTGCGCAACGCAAGATAACGCCATGATCTTCATCCAAAAATTGTAAACTGCGCCCATTTCTTTCTGGGGGATCACTATCCTTGAACTGCGCAAGTGCACACTGCTCAACTTAGTGAATGTTGATCGTGTTTATACTGGACAGTACAGTACAAGGGGAAAAGAGGTTTCGCGGTACAGTACAGAACGGTGCCATACACAGTCAAGTCAAAGATTACATATCCATATAAACTAGTGTATTTGCACGCTAGTTTTAGTTCCATTTTTTCCCATGACATTACTGTACTGTACACTGTACACTGTACACTGTACGGTATTGTACAGAAAGTTCCAGTCCGGTACAGTACGGCGTGGACCCACAGGTTTTGCTAGCGTAACCGTTTGAACATGTTAAAGTTAATACGATACGCTATTAACTAGAGTGTAGTTTTGAGCCAAACTGGAGGTCGGTGTTGCTGTAACGAAATGGAGCCAATACTGAACTGAGTGTGCAGTCAGTGTGCTGCAAAGCGGCAAAACTCTGCAATCTGCTCAGGTCGAAGACTACCGAGGTCAGGAAAATGGAGCAAAACAGGCAGGTTTCCCTTTCGTTGTTGCAATGGAGATTGAATTTTTGGATAACTTATGATAATACTATGCAATTGAGTATTCCTATTCTAATATAGCTATGTAGTCAACTAGTTGGGTTAGTTTTTGCTATATTTATGATGTCATCTTAATAAATAAATAATAATAATAATAATAATCAATTCAATTCAATATGATAGGAAGCAAGAAGAGGATACCTTTTCCATCTTGATTGGTAAGTCTTGATATTAGACAACATGCAAGGAAATACATTTTGCTAAGATGATGAAATAGGATTTACGGGGGTAGTGCATGACTGAGTACTGTACAGTAGTCCGCCTGCAATCTTACTCTACTGTATAGTCAATACTGTCGATAGAGGAGACTTGGTATAGTGCAGTGATGGACTTTATAATTGGCTGTCAATTTTCCTCTAGTGTAGACGATGTTGTAATATACAACGAGATGACTACAGTAGTGATCCAATGCGACAGCTCGTCGATAGGGGTACTACACTACTGTATAACAGTTACTTATTTGAGCTTCAAATTTGTAACTAGGATATCTTTACAGTCTATAGCTTACACTGTTTCCAAATATGTCTAGAACTGGAGCAAGAAGAAAGCATCGTATACTTCCGCTAACGATAGTAATAGACGCCATGCAGTGATACAGATTTGCCTGATTTTACATCATACAATTTTAAATACCAGCAGTACATGCAATCTACTGCAGTATTCTTATTGATATACGGAGTCAATGGTTGTGCACATATTCCAAGAGGAATAGAGTGATGTGCTATGCAATGTACACGACAAAGTAAAATTACAATTTACACTTTGGTATTGTAAAGAAAAAACATCTTCACTTTGTGTTTTTCTATAAATGAGTGATATAATCCATACTTACTCTTGCTGTTAAGATATTCATACGTACTCTACAAAATAGGGGTACTGTAAAGCTCAAACGACATAATTTTGTAAACTTACTGCAAACTGAATGATATTATTTATGGCTAGCTAGAAAACACTTTTCGCCTAGTTTACTCATGCTATGCATGAGCACTTCGATTATGCTAGCTTATTCATTCGAATGCGCATCGATATGATGTTTGAATGACGGTATTACATGATTAATTCATGTTACACGTAGTCTCATACAGTTTATATGTACCCTAGATAATACTGTACTGTACTGTAGACATTTACTTATGAAATATTGCTCTCTGCTAGTCTTCTCATCAAAGAGATTAATAGCTTCAATAGTAACCAACTACTTGTAAATAATTCATCATTTGTTATTTTTAACTCTCAATATTTCCATTGCTTTCTTCAGCATCAGATTGCCACTTGGGCTATAAAGAAAAAGATCCAATTCGCGGCCATGATTCGTTAGTTACCTTCGAAGAAGTATTTGAAATAGCTAAAGAGCATGAGGTAGTTCATCACTAATTTCATTGACCAATGATATATTCATAATTGAAATAAGCTCGCAGTGTCCGTACCTAACCATCTCAGTGAAACGGATAGGCACAATTAAATTTGTAATCAAATTGATATCGGGCAATGCCTAACCACTAGCTATGACAATATACCTACTTCTTTCTTGATTACGAATGTTAGGTTGACTTTGTGTTACTTGGAGGCGACTTATTTCATGAAAATAAGCCTTCTCGTGCTACGTTGCACGGATGTATCGAAATACTAAGGAAATACTGCCTTGGTGATAAGCCTTGTCAAGTGGAATTTTTGAGCGATCAGTCCGTCAATTTTTGGTCCAGCAGGTCAGATCTTGCGTATTTAGCTGCTCAAATTAACTCACTCTATCAAATACGTTAAAAAGTATATTAAAATCACTTCTCAATTTACGTACTCTTCGTACAGAATAAACATTATTATGATGTTAATGTAGGAAAAAAATAAAATGTTATCACTCATGTTATTGTTTCAGTTTCCCGGTCATTAATTATGAAGATCCAAATTATAATATTTCTACGCCGGTTTTTACAATACATGGTAATCATGATGATCCTTCCGGCTCCAAGAATTTATCAGCTATCGACTTGCTTAGTTCATCGGGATTAGTCAACTACTTTGGAAAAACAAGCTCCGTTGATGAAATCTCAATTAGTCCGTTGTTGATGCAAAAAGGCAAGTCAAAATTGGCAGTTTACGGGTTAGGTTCCGTACGAGATGAACGCCTACATCGACTCTTTGCCAGTGAAAAAATAACAATGTTAAAACCGAAAATGGACACTGATAACTGGTTTAATATTATGGTAGTGCACCAAAACAGGTTAGTCATAGAGATAACACGTTGGTCTAATGAAGGAAAACTATACGAAATAACCTACTATTGCTCTAGGGTTAAACACGGCGAAAAGAACTATATCCCAGAAGAATTCTTAAGCGATTTTCTGGATTTAGTCATTTGGGGTCATGAGCACGAGAGCTTAATAACTCCTGAATGGAATCCTAAAACCAACTTTTTTGTTTGTCAACCGGGTTCAACAGTTGCCACATCTTTAACTGAAGGGGAAGCTAAAAGAAAGTAATAGCAACTATGAAAATGACATATATTCTTTATAATTTTCAAATCCCTTCAATATGTAATCCTTTCCTGTACTTAAACTTGCTCTTGTAACTCCAAGCTGTTATTAAACTTTTTTTAAATAGGCATGTTGCGATCTTAAAAGTCTTCAACAAGACTTTTAAAGTAGAAGAGATTCCTTTAAATACTGTCCGACCTTTTTACATCGATGAGCTTTGTCTTCAAGAAACTGGCATTTCTTGCGATGAAAGACATGAACAAGAGATTGTATCTTACGTGAAAAAAAAGGTGATTGGAATAATGTTAAAACTAAATGACGCAATTTGCTTTTATTTATCTGTACTGTCAACAATTGTTCAACTATAGATCGAATCTATGATATCAAAAGCTGAAGCTGAGCATTCTGGCAGTACAAGACAGCCTACGGAGCCGTTAATAAGACTAAAGGTGCGGTCGTTACAATTCGGTGAGACTACTAAATCCTTATATCACTTATATTTCACTGACAATATTATCATGCTTACTAATATAGGTTGATTATAGTGGTGGATATATTCCATTTAATTCATTGAGATTTGGCCAGCAGTTTGTTGGTCGTGTAGCAAACCCTAAAGATATTGTACATTTTTATAAAAAAAGAACCAGGAGGGAAATTACAGGTACATACAATATATATTATTTTAAAAGCCTGAATTTGCTGATTTATTGGAACACTTCGTAATATAGGAATGTAGCAGTTTATTTATTGAATTGTGTCACTAATTGTTGTTTCTAACGCACTTTAAAATGTTGATCACATTATATTCTTGATATTAGACGACGAAGAGATGGAATCAATCGAAAATGCGGAATTGCCAATAAGTATACTTGAGCGAACCGTCAAGATAGAAAATATCATTACTGAATTATTGGCGAATGACTCGGTATAAGTGTATTTCATAAGTAGACTCAATAGAGATTAAAATTATCGAATGCAATAAACTAATTAATTAATCCTCGTTATTAATCAATTAAATTGCAAGGGATCGCTATTTTTTTTTATATTATATAGTCTTATCAAATGAAATTTCTATCTGAAAAAGCTATTGGAGATGCGGTTAGGATATTTGTAGACAAGGAAGAAAATGATATTATTGAGGAGTATGTATGAAAATATTCTAAAGCTGATAAATTTTAATTTGTGGAATTCACGCTATGTTTCATTAACTTTACTATTTTAGACTAGTACACCATTCTTTGAAAAAGATGCAAAATTTGCTGAAGAAAAATCAAGGCTCGACTGACCTTCAGTTGGATCAACAAGTATGTTTGATTACTATAAATTACAAGATCTATTTGTACTGAACAATAGGTATTAATCGACTTAATTTTACATCAAGGTGGAAATTTATAAAGAAACGGTCTTCGGAAATGAAGATATGCGAAAAGTAGATTTCGTTCTCATGTTCTTAAATTTATACTAGTTTACCTATTACCAAATTCTTACTCAATTCAACTGTTATGTTTACTATATGTTACCCCTGCACTTGTGATTGCTAGGCGATCGAAGGTGCTCAAATTAAAAGGCGTCACAGGGGAGACTATGACGATGAAAAGGACTTCAGTGATTCTGATGAAGATATTGTTAAGCCATCTACCTCCGCAAATCCAGAAAATAACGGGAGAGGTAACCGCAGCCGTGATCGTGCTCGAGGTCAAACAAGAGGCCATAGGAATTCTCGAACGCCCAGCAGAGGCAGAGGCAGAGGCAGTAAATACTTACATCTAAAATTTTAGTTTCGGTCAACATTGTTATAATTTACTTATACATATTATCTTCTAATAACAGCAGCTCTTACAAGTTCAGGCTCTGTAAGTACCGCTTTTCTCAAGATAGCACCCTTTTTAATGTACTTATTTAATTGATACCAGTTTGCAATCATTGTTTCCTGTTTTAATACATATAACAACGTATTCTAAATCCGATAATTATGAAGGTATTCACGAGGAAGCCAGCAACTGCTACGGCTAGCTCTACGTAAGTTTATAATTTTGTTGAATGTAATCTTGACTTAAAACTTACGAGTTCTTAAATATCTCGAATGAGGAAATACTTTAACTTTTTACCCAATAGATTAAAATCCAAGAAATCGGAAGTCATTAATCTTGTAAGCACCGTTATATATCTCCAATTAATTAATAATGTCGTTTCTCTTCATTTAATTAGCTGTTCTTTGGTATATCAGGTTGACGAAGACGATAGCGATGACCCATTCGAGATTGATCGCTCGAAAAGATCGCGAAAAGCATAATAGGCTTCAAGCAATTTAATGTAGCTACTGCACAACAGATTTTTCTTGTATCAAATATCGATAACCCATACAGTAGTAGAATGTATACTTTTGTTGAACTTATAACAATAATGATATGGTAATGATTTACTTGCAGTAATATCATTTCGACATGTAACTTGAATTATTTAGCAAAAATTAATGAATTGTAGCATAAGAATTTATTAACATTTCATAAACCACTTTAAACTTTTTGTTCAAAGCTGCAATATAAGTTATAGATGTACTTTATCTCGGAAGCTGTTCAAAAAATTTGACGTTACAGCAAGTTCACAGATTTTAATTAGTATTAATTGATATGCACAAGGGAGAAGATAGATACATTAACAGTACGTACGTTAGAAACAAGATAGAATGGAATGATGTTCTGAAGTTAAGAAGTTTTGGAGAATTTCGTTGACGCAGTCATTCCATTTGAGGATTTGGCGTTCCATTGCGATGCGAAACTCTTCCTTTGCGCCCTTATTTAATCCCCTAGTAACTGTACGTGTTCTATATAACAGGCATAATTTTTGGAATTAGATTATAAATTTTCACATGAATTACGATATTTCTGCATGTTATTAATTATAAGTCTCAAATGTAAATTGAAGCTATTAATGATACTTCTAAACATTACGATGCACCTTGTAGAACTTGAGGTTTTAGCCAACAATGATAGCCTAATTTTATCATTTTCTCCCCCTTGTGTCGAATTAAAATGAGCGAATATTTCCAAAATATCAATATCTACAATGTTTGTCCAAAATGGTTCATTAAGATATGCAAGATTGCATTGTCCGATATTGGCCTGCCATTGAAAATTATTGTAACTTATATAGGAACACATAAACATCACTTACTTATAACGTAATCAAAGAACGATGGATAGGTAAATTGTCCAGATTCAAGGATTTTTTCAGTCACAAAGTCAAAATAAGATGAGTAATTTGGCCAGTCATATTGCGATAACACGATGATATGACCCATGGCCGTATCGTCAGATCTTCTGGTTATTCCTCTCTATCGAAATCGAAAAGTATGTAATCATTTTTAGAAATATTATGAAAGGATAACGATGCCAGATAATACGATACCTGCAAACAATATAGTAGATGCTCAATACAGAACTTCATTAAATTGCTGTCGATGTAAGGAATGAACTTTATAAATCGCTTACTATTACCTAGATCAAGCGAATTACGAGAAGTTGATTACAACGCAGTCATAATTTGAAGCAAAGTTATTGATACAGTTCATAAATCTTTAAACTTACTATCATTTGATAAGTCTATAATCATGTCTGTTCCACTGGAAGATTGAATGTGATTTACTGGAGCGTACAGCATCATAAATTTTAAAATATTCCTACAGCCTTCCTGTAATATTTGCAGATTGAATAATACTTAAATACATATATCTTATTTGTCTGTACCTCTATAATAGTATCTAGCAATTGTAAATTATTAGAATTACCTTATGCTTATTGATGCAAAGTAAGCAACTAGCAAGTTGTAACACGAAACGTATGACGGACTGTAAAGAAGAGTTTAATAATCCGATTTATTACATCAAACGAGGTAAATTATAAGATTATTTCGAATAGTGGTTGGTATATGTTAATTCGAAAGTGAAATAAATGGATATTTCTACCCCTCCTTAAGATGCATCAGTCAACTATTAAAACTGATAATAAGATTATAATAAAATTATCGACAATCTCACATGTGGAGCATCTTCTTCGTCAAATTCCGTCTTTGATAAATGACTACTAATCCATTTTATTGCTCCATCATATTCTCCCTTAATATAAACGTATGCGTTGATTAGTCAAGTTATCGAAATTAATAGCATATCGAACCGTACCAAAATAAGTATTTTTACTCTTACTTCGTAAATAAGCATATCAACACGGAGAGAAGTAAAGTAATATTCGAAACGTAGTCTCTTTCGTATTCGTCTAAAGTCTAAATAATAAGAATAAATAAATACATGCAGAAAGGGCTTAATATGACTTGCATGATTTGAAATAAGCTGACAATAGAATTTCAATTTTTAATAGTGGCTGACAATCATAAAAAAATTTACCAGAACGGTAATCGGAGTCGGCCAATACCTTCCAGCATTTAGTAGCCACCGTCAAGAATGGATAAAAGTGGGGTTCAGACGCTTAATTATCACATTCAGGAAAAATTAAAATCAAACACAGTGAACTTTACTAGGCAAACATAGCCATTACATTATAGATGCAATATTATAACCGCACGATATTGTAAGAATAAATTACCGGGCGGTTTCGGTTCCATATATACATCTTCGTTATCGCTATCCTAAGTTGTGGAACGTAAATATAATAGCAATAAAAGCGGATTAGTAAGTGCGATCGATTGTTTCAAGCATAAATCAAACAGTATCTTTAATTTCTACATGTCTGCTAAGATAAGCTTCATGTTAACTTATGTTATTCTGTTCTAAAAACAATACAACAGTAAAGGCGAAATAAAGCTCACCTCTATAGACGCTGTGACTTCGCAAACCGATTGCAGTAAAACGTATCCATTATTGCTGGCAGAACCAAGAGCCAGGTTTGCGCTATCTTCTATTTCAAATACTACATGAAAGAAGAATTATAATCAAGAAAACGATCAACAATTTCATCACAGCAATTAGAAATTTGGCGATCAAATTGTAAACCTCCTGTCGCATTTAGATTATAATGATATGCAGCATAGCATAACAACACAAAGTATGAGTACAAAACTTCTTCTTTAGTTATGTCCGATTGACTGAGGTTCTGTAGCAATTTCCAGCATTTTTCTACGTCACTATAAATTGATTAATTACCACAACGTGACATATTATTTAAACGTATTTTTATTTATTTACCATTTCACGGCAGCATGATAGTTGATACTAACCCCTTTAGCAATGGTATAAAGCACTCTTCAATCTTTCCATCATTAACCCAATTTGCTTTAGATGCGACAGACACCAAAGTATCGATAACATCTTTGTAATGCGCCGCACTGTTTCCACTATGTTTTTTGAGCAGAAAGTAACGAATAGACAATTCCAGCCAGTTGTATAGAGAAGTCGTAGGTAGATATACAATATTATCGGCATCGTACTTTCAAAAAATAGTGATAATTTCCAATTAAACTAAGAGGTAAATTACTGTTAAAGACAACTTTACTCTTTATAGTAGTCGCTATAAAAATGTGACAATTAATGAAATTGACTGTGCGATATTTAATCAGTACCTCATCCGGGTTGTCAGCGAATAGAATGTACGGTCGCTTTTTAAAATCAAAGGAACAACGGAGCATGCTGTAATAAATTAACATACACACCCATTTAATTATCAATAGACTTTTTAAAAATATATACTACGTAACGTCAAGAGCTTCTTATATAATATCTGTTTGTTAAGATTAGAAATTAAAAAATGCAAATAAGGCGTGGGATAATGTACCTAGTAAAGATTCGAACTCCATTAAGTACCGATCATCTTTTGGGTTGTTTAATGCATCCTCTAAGGTATTCACTAGCTCTTTCTGTTCAATTTTTCGGAGTAAACAATGTGATATTACAAATATTTTAACAACCATATGAATATCTACTAATTAAAATTTGTTGCAAGTTCGAAGTATTCATGTAAATGAATACCATACACATTACAGCACCTATACTTTGCTAGAATCAAAATAGTTAATGATACATGCATTCCGTAATTCATGCTTAGAGCTTACGCCATGGGTTATTATGGTCTGTGGATAATTTCGTAGTATTAACAGCTTCAGTTTGCATTTTTCAGCAGTTTGTTGACTATTGTCTACAAGTATACCCCCAGAGACAAAATTTTTTAGGTGTGTGATACTGTTCGATTATAAATGGCAGTTGTAACATTAATTCTACTATGAACTAGTGTAGAATCTAAATTGGATAATATGAATTACATTCGCAATATTGAAACTATTTCAATTAATTATAGGCATCGCTACAGTAAACTTACATATCATCGAAGCAAACTAAAACTCATCCAATATAATTACTTTTTAAATTATTTTACCTGCAGTAGCAGTTAATAAACCCAACCTCTCTTCATCGCTAAATTCATTTAGTATTTCTAAAACGATAACCAGATATCACGAATTATCAGAAGTAATATATCATTTTATAAAGTATTCAAAATTTAAGGAAATAGCGATAAGACACAGGACACTATACGTCAATTATGGAATTACTTCAAAAGCATACTGTAATACTGGTAGCTTTTAAAGCAACAATAGTTGATGATGCAGTAATTTATCCGGTAAGTTCAAATATCACTAAATAGGTGTATTTATCTGCACCTTCAAATTCTGCATTGTCTTCACTATTACCAACAAATAAGGCAAGGCAGGAGTCTCTTAGGAGTTGCCATAGCTTGTCTTCGCTAGTAAATTTATTTAGCCTGTTGAACGAGTACCAGGCATTATTTAAGTAATACAATAAAACAAACATATTAAGTTGTAATCAGGTATACTGTACAAGTTGTATAGCATCTTCTCAATAGGTTTCAATTTTACTCTAAAATATTCTATCATAAACAGGAACGGCTGATAGAGTATGGCAAACATACATCGTTGTTAAAACAGTTGCAGCTTGGCGGTACTTTTTGCAATTTTTTTCAAAATTATAGGCAAAGAGCTAATTCAATAGGAAAAGGAATCATTAGATTGAATCCACAGCATGGCACACCATTAATTCGATAATATCCTTATTCAAACTCAAGCTCAACATAGACAAACATCAAATAAATGTTACTGAATAGTGTCTATCATGCCCAATGCACTTTATTTTAAAAAGTTCTTATTCTCTATTTCGTAAACACTGTAAACCGCTACCGACTTTAACCTAGCTAGACGTCTTTAATGTTCAACGTTGATATCGCGTTTTCGTTATAAATCAACAATCAATACATATATGAATATAGTAGACTATAGTATCCTATCTCTGGATTTCTAAGTTAACATCAGTAAAATTGGTATTCCATCATTATCTGAATTATCATGTCTTTATTACCTGAACTTGAAAGTTATCAGGAAATAAAGATTTACAACTAATTAGCCATGATCGAGCTCCATAGATATCGTTGGATACTTGTGCTTGCTCAGCTTGGCCTAACATCCATAGCCAATCTTCTTCTTCCATCGTTTCCATTACACTACGTTGAGACGATAACACAGTAAGATACTATTTAATCTATGGAAAGAGCTTCTAAATAGGCAATTACCTTAGCAGCAGAATCAACTCTGAACTATTTCCAACCACCACTATCGACCAGATCACTAGACTGCCATTTAAGCTCGAGCAACAATCAGCAAACCTTCATCGCACATGCGCAGTTCAAATTAATTTTGTATGCTTCATACTATATGAAACTTCTTTATAGTAAGTAGTACAGTACGTTGCCACAGTGTACAGTACCATGTAGTATAGTATGACAGTACTGTATACTGTACGTAATAGACGTATGGACGCCTGGATTGTCTTTCCCATACAGTACAATCATCAGGACTCAGAATAAACGCTTACAGTATTGATCGCTTACTGCAATTTACGTCAGTACAGTATAACCTAGTCAGAATGCATCGAACTTGAACGACTTATCAGACTTCTAAACTAGAGTTAACTATCAGAGTTTTTCTTAATACTAGTTGGATATCCAATCTAAATCAACGAAAATATATTCTCCATAAAGTTTTAAAGTGTTACATTCAGAATATAACTAGAGGATTATCTTAGAATATATGCTTCCTAATATCAGTACAGTATAACCTAGTCAGAATGCATCGAACTTGAACAACTCATCAGACTTCTAAACTAGAGTTAACTATCAGATTTTTTCTTAATACTAGTTGGATATCCCATCTAAATCAACGAAAATATATTCTCCATAAAGTTTTAAAGTGTTACATTCAGAATATAACTAGAGGATTATCTTAGAATATATGCTTCCTAATATCAAGTGTAGTTCTGATACTATCATAACTAGTATATCGCTCGCTCCCTATACTATACCTCGCGTATACTTTTGCTGTTTACTTGATAGTAAAATTGTTTTGCTGACCCACAATTTCCCTGCCTGAGCATATTATATTTTTGCCGGTAGAATAATAATTATTAATACTAATCTATCAAGATACTATCAGGATAATATGGAGAAATTGTACGCTGTACTATTGATTGCGTGCAGCAAAGTGCCCTCTGGTGTTAGAAATACTGTCCATTATCGTTCAAGGATTAAAACTATTTGATACTATCTCGCGATAGTATAACTGATAATAAATAATTGATATCACTATTCTAAACTGAAATTTCTCTTTTTAGAAGCCCAATAACACATATTATAGTTAGTTAGTAGTTTAGTGAAGTGGATCTTAATGTATTTTATTATTAGCTATTCTTTTCTGAGAAATAAAGATTTGAATTGATGTAACACGTAACTACCGTAATTTGCTAAAATCCTTGCAACTGTTTATCTTACAATTTATAATTATATATGAATGTTATATTCGCCATACTAAGATGCGTGATATAGCTGTTTCGAATACGTTCAGCATGTGGGTCGATACTTCTATGCTTTAGACTACGGATTAATCACAGGTTGTTATGCCACAGGTTCAAGCATAGTAAAATTACTAGGAATATATCATAGAAAATTGAACAACGAACTACTATTTAAACAAGCCAAGAATGTTACCATTCCATAACTCAGTCTAAGAATAACACTCTGTAGTCTTATTAAGAGTTAACGTACAAGGTGCAGTGAGAGATAGATTTTAATTGAGTGGCAGGGTAAGAGAGAAGAAAAGGAAAAATGATCTCGAGTTCGAAATACTATATGTCAACATTCTGTATAGTGCACTATCCAAGTGCAACAGTAACAAGTGCCAACGTCTGATTGGCCATATCCAAGTTAGTAGTAGTGTAGAAGATGATAAAGATTACTGTTGCAAAACAGCTTTGCTACAAAATAACGTAATGCAAGATCAATCAGTCGATTCCCTGAATCATTTATCAGGGAACAATATCTACTCTTTCAGGAGCACTTTTCCTATACTAGTAGACTACAAAATGACTTAGACACCTCGGATCTTACGTTAAACACGAATCACAAGAACTAACTTTATTATACGATTATCGCATTTATATACTCTTTTACAATAGCAAAGACATCTTAGTTAGTAATATTAACGTTGAAGCCTGATAATGAATCAAAAGCTAATTTTATCTACTGCTACCGAATGAAGACAACAGTATTTACCAAGATAGACATCGAATAACTAATACAAAATTGTCAGATTACAATATTTCCTATCACGGAACATTTCTACGATAATCTACCATAAGTAAATTACAATCACAGTGATTTGAATTGTAAGAAGATTATTCTCGATTCCCTAATTAAACTACTAATTTCAGTAGGCTGTATATATCACCATAAAAGCTAGTGCTATATTTAAATATCATATATCTAAATAAGAAACTCTTCGTATAAGGGTAAATCAACAAAATTATTCTAACATAGATGTTTCTACTATAATCTCGATATTACTAATTCTGCAGTGTCTAAAATGTAAAGATCCACAGATTAACGGTATTACTTTTAAGATATCGAATCAATTTGCTGCGTAAGAAGATACCGATGTTTCGATAGTAACTGCTCTTTAATCTTTGTATAAGAAACTATACTATTTTTATCTAAGTTTGTTGCTGCAGCGCCGCTCTCAAGGAAACATTGCTTAATAATACCGTTCTCAATCAGATTATCTAACGGTGCTAAGTAGTCTTTTAGAGTGAATAAAGTGTCCATCGTAGATATATTCGATACTATTGGCACCATCCAATGAAATCCTAATATACCACCGTATTTATCTCCTAATAAATTTTTATAAGCTACCGATACTTGTTTTTCATCAAGTGGCTGGACCATTAACACTTGGCCTACTTTCTCCATTTGCTTAACACAAGCTAAATAAGCGATATAGCTGATATACTTAAGCGATATCAAGCTATAACCGTTATATAATTCTTCTTCATTACAATGAAGATCTTTCTGACTCTTAATATATCGCCACACACTACGATAGGGCTCTACTTGACTTTCACATAACCATATCCAACATCGTTGACTAACATGTTCTGCAATTTTGTTACCGCTTTCTTTATCGATGCCATTTAAAAGACTTAACGGTACATCGATTCCATCCATAAATCGTTGTAAACAAAATTCGTCGTTCCTTTCTAATACTAATCTACTAATAGGCGCTTCGGTTATCAATGTTATATTGTAACGAGAAGAGTAATTATCTAACCATTGACGATGCTTTCTGGAACGTTCGGTTATATAATCGATATAATCGTCGAAAGCTTTTCTGGTCATATAATTAGTTAGAAATAATTGTAATCCGACTATAATATATTCTGCAATCGGAAGATGAAAATATAATGTAGGCATAGTTCCTTTACCTATAACATAAAAAAATGGTACCATATTTTCGAGCGTTTGATGAATTAATTTTTCGTATGGATGCCATTCATCGCATTCCAGTTTTATTCTTTCTATAGTTTGATCTTGTTGTAGATTATGAGTTGCGCTCGTTATCGGATATTGATTTTCGCAGTTATCGATGCCTTTCAAATTATAACCATACAGGCATACAGCTGTAATAATAGATCGTATAGGTTTTTCATCGATCGAAATAACTTTTTCACTTAGGCTCGGATGGACATAACGATCAAAGTTAGCATATAAACCGCCGATTAGCTTGTTATCACGTAGAAACGCTATAGGATGATATGCATCTCGCCGTCGATCTTTAGTAATTAAACAAGATTGATTATCATCGACAAATATTCGTACAGAATAACATCCAACAGGATAGTTGATAGCGTCGCTATCACTATTAAAGAAACGACGGATTATATCTGTATGGCGATTATAGTCTCTCGTACGCCTCCGCTTAGTTTTCTGTGTATGAGTAAATGTAGGAATGTTATAATAAAGCTTACACACACTCGGTAAAGAATCATTTCTGCAATAATACGCCATTAAACGAGTCCTGTAGACGACACCTTGTTGATGATTGTTATTACTGGGTGAAGATTTTTGTAAAATTATCAAACCAGGTAGACTGTTGATTGATACGTGGAGGTCAGAGGGATTTAATTCGTATTTAGATTCCATAGATAAATATTAAGATAGTAGATCTTGAATTTAAGTTATTAAAGTCTAAATAAAAGTTCTTAGCAAATTTAGTATCAATAAATCGCTGTAATACACATGTAACAAAATTGCCCGTAAATGTCTCTGGCTCAATTTTGGTAAGAACCCTAACTAAAATTAAAAGGAAAAAGATCAGTTAATTTAGTATTCTTACGGCGTAGGAACTTATCTAGTAGTATTAAAAATCTAACTTTGCATTATTGGGTCGTATGATCATCCTTTATACAGTCCTCCGCTAAGTTTTTTATCATATAGTTCTTCCTCATAGGGACTAATAACTTTGAAAATAGTTCAAAGTTTCACGTTTGATAAAATTAGCGTTTAAACAAAATAAAAATATAACTTATTCTAACAATGTATTGGTTAAAGTACGTACCGTCCAGCAAGCTATGATTGTTCTAGCTAATACCCAAATGAATTAAAGTATTAATAAAAGCAATGTCAGTATACTTACTATAATATAATTGTTAACGAATAATCAATGAACGAACGACTATACAAAAACAGTTTTGATTCTTGATTACGTTAAAAACTTGCATACAATTATGGATAAAGGCAATTAACGCGAATTACAGGAGATTACCAATAGTACTCGTATGCAATAAATTATTGTATAAGAGATCGGTCCGGCGAGTAAAATCCTCAATCAGGTAAACTAAATTAAATGAAATCATTAATTCATAAATCGCCGAGCCTGAGCACAATAACAACCTGATATGTATAACATTCAAGTTCATACTATAAAATTCGTAGCTCTGAATATTATATGAATTGACGATAGTAATACTTGCCAATCTTTCAATCGACAAATGGAATTGCCTTCATAGCACATCCGAGTATTTTTATCTGCTATTTCAGAACAGTGCGGTACCTTATATTAATTATTTCATTACTTTAAGATATGGTTTGATCTATTTTTATTTCGGAATCATTCAGAATTTACAAGTATCTGAGCATTTTCAATAAGATCGGGAATCTCTAAAATTATACGGTAACCGTAGTAGCTATCAGCACAGGAGCCGTCGCACTGATGAAAGGGATTTTGATTTCAGTTTTTACGTCAATCTAAATTGTCGAAGTTGTTTATCGTTCTATCATTACCGTGATAACGGTTAATGACCATAGTATTATATACCGATGCAATACGGCAAACCGGCGGTAATATGTATTAATCAACTCATTTCAAATCAGAATAAGAGAAAATACAGCAAATAGATATAGATGTAAAATAACATTGTTAACTATATTTCAGGATTTTGATAAGCATACTATAAATTTATTTATAATAAATAGCTTAGGCTAAGGCTGCCATTTTCCAAAGTAACGTTGGCTATATTGAGGTACCTTTTTGCAGCCAATGCAATACTGTCTCTTAAATCAGCCAATATCCACCTTCTAGAATATTCACCGAGATTACGCGCAATTTGATTAAAATTAAACTGCACCAGATCTTATTTCAATTTAGTCTGTCATTGATTTAGTAATATCGTGCATTACATCAGTAAAGTTACAATCGGAGTATAATTTAATCTCCTGCATCTAGTTAAACCAGGTAGAAAGATAACTGATGGTAGTTCTATTAACAGTAGCTCATATAGTTACATTTCTAGTTGGCTACCACCGTGATGGGCTGCCATTTTTAGTACGGCGAGAAAATTAAGCTATACTCGTACTGATTCATCAATATTCTTTCGCCTTTTGAAAAAATTGCATTATTGTTTTATCGCCACTAAAATTATACAAATAAAGCATACTTTACTTAAAGTAAACAATCGTGTAGCATACTTGAATATACCGTATAATGAAAGCTTATACTGTAATATAATCGGAATTTAGCAGAGAGAAATGAAGTTTAGACAAGGACATTATTTCCTTAAATTACTAGCAACCAAGACAGGTTATTCTATTCTTTCAATTTAACTATGAACGCTTGTATCCGCAATTAAGCTGATTCACTGTAATCTATGCACGTTATAGAAACATATTTCATACTGCATATGCTGTATGTGGTATTTTAAGTTACAAATATGTAATATTAATATATTTGAGATAACTCGATTCGTCTATGTGGGTAGTTCGGTGACTGAAGAATTATGCGGCAAAATGAAGTAGAAGCCATGTTCCTATATGTTAGTAATAATTCAAAAACGTCATCACTATGTTTACTCTAGAACTGATATTTCAGATTGATATTAAAGCGTTTTGATTAAATAAATTAATTTATGATGTTCTATTCGATAATAATGAATAATAACCTGTGTTTTTAACTTTGTTTTATCCCGTCGTATCTGCATTAAGCTTAACTGGCTATTATTAAGTGAGATGTATTGCTCTTAAAGAATTATTATTCATTAAGTTTCTCATCCAATTTCTAATTTAATAAGGTATAGTATTTATTACTGATTAGGATATCCGCAGTGCTCACACAGATGCCAGATTAAGAAAATAGCTTAATACGATACGGCAAAAAAAACGTATAACTAACCCTATGATTGCAATTTAAAAGCTAATACAGTTTTTGCGTTTAAAATTATAATATGCCAAATATGCTTACCATATATAATAAAATAATGATATCAGATTATAAACTCTCCTAAAGTGATATCCTTAGCAACATAGTAACCGGATGTTTTTCTGAAATATTTCTTCTTTCTAGAACTTCGGTATATGCTTATCCTTATTCTACATATTAGATTATTTGAATTTATAAAATTTCTATTTAGTTTAGATACAAATATATGGCAATTGCATACGGAAAATAGTTTCCTATAATGTGAATCTCAGGGGTAAAAATCGCAATTTTATTTTTCAGTATCGAAGCTGCAGCAAAGCTATCATTACATAACTTACTTAGAAATTCACCGATAGAGATTATATCTAGGATATCTCGCATACTTTATAATATTACATCCGAATGATAAATTAAGATTAAATAGCATAACGATGCGTTTATAAATTGATGAATTATTTAGTAAATATGACTTTAAAGTTTAGTTTAAGTGAGACTTGCAGTTACCGTGGCCCCAACGATAGATGTTCGTCAGTATTGAGTGACGTTATGGGCAATCATCGAGAGGATTAGCCTATCAAAAGGCTCATATAGTTTAGTTTCTCTCTATAAATCACGATTTACATTATAAATAAGTATTCGCAATATTTTGGAATAAATAAATAAAATATGGTATTGACCGTAAGCCCCTCAATTTAACAATAATCAATTAATTCGAACCGCTGTATGTCTGATTTTATTCAGGCTTGAGCGATATTTGCATGTCTCGATTTTCAGTGAACATGTAACCGAAACACTGCGCCGCACCTGCTGAAAGTTAAAGTGTTCGGCGTTTTTACAATTACTTTTTAGGAGCCCAGTGTGTAGACTTCTGATATTTCATTTGATATTATTTAAGGATATAAATAGTTACACCGTTCTCATTCTTAAATGGTTTATTCAGGGACGGTTCAGATTGCAAAAAAATGTTATTAAAATACACAAAGTAAACTTTATTTGAAGGTATAAGGATTCAACACGAATAAAATATTACAGAATAGTTTATTTCACTTACTACTATAGAACATGGTTATCGATAACTAATACTACCACTGCTTAGTTTGCTTGTTGTCTATACATCAGAAACGGTACAAAAAATAGTACTTTTCGTCGAGTCGTAGAATTAATGCTTGTCTAAGGGAGTGTTCTCGGTGCTTTAACTTCATCTAACAGAAACCGCTTATTAATTTCTGCGTTTTCAATTATTCTATAGTATTTATTTAATCTAGAAATTTGTAAAAGCTTAAATTTTTCCAAATGAATCTAAAACTGAGTGAAGAATTTCTACGCCATGTAAATCCCGCAGCCTTTCCAGATGCCTTAAATGAAAAACAATTAGTAATTGTCGCTTAGTGTTTTTATTCGTGCAATCTGGCATTTATGAAATATCATTAATATTATCTTGAATTGTTATAGGCTATAAGGTGTCAAAAAATCCAGAAGCATCAACAAACTTGCTCTTACCTTGCATCGCTTTGGCTTAATTTAGCCAATGCAATCCCAGCATTTTTTCGTGTAACATTTTTCCGACTGCTATCCACTATCCGTAATAAATCAGCAACGATATCGCTTCCAATAAATAATTGACTTATTTTTGCTATCCATCGGTAGGAGATTCGAGAATAGCAATAAATAAAAGTAGACAAAATTTAATTAACTAGTGCGGTACTTATTGTGCACAGTACTATATTCAGACGGTGATTTATATCTATTACTCTTTACCTTGTCCGATTATGTGGCTGCAGGCAAGACTAGAATTACCAACAATGCTATCATCATCCGAATTAATCATCATAGTAAAGATTGTGACTAAATCTACAAAAATTGTAAAAAATTAAAGCAGTTTATATATTATCTTTTAGTTAAAAAGCCTAAGCTAGTAATGTAATCAATAAGTGGTGAGTAATAAAAACGACAATTTTCAACTACCTTTGAAGTCGAGCAAAAACTCGATGGCAGCTTTCTGGTCATTTTTTGTACAATAGGCCAGACATGTCGATAAAGCTTTAAGTGTGACTGAACGACCACGATTCTATCAATTCATATACATTGAAATACATATGTTTAGGCTCAAACATCAGAAATGGACAGGCTTTAATTTTTTAATTTACTTCATTTAGTTTATATACGGTTCTAAATATCAACCTAAGATATTTCTTACCACCAATATTGCTGGGCAGATCTTAGGTAACAAATCTAAGGACCATGATTTCTTTGTACAAAATCCAATAAGACGCGCAATGCATCTAGTTAAACGCTAAAATTTTAGATGTGGAGAGTAAGATAATCCAGCGTAGTAATTAAGCCAAAAGGTAACTAGTTATTAGAGATTACAGAGATGAAATGCAGATTTTGCTTGTAAAAGTGGGACTTTTACAAATATAGTTATTTACTCGTACTTCGAAAATATCTTCATTTTTCGTGGTTAAGATGTTAACAAGACTAGGAAGGAAATCGTTTGAAAAATTCTAAAAAATATCGCAAAGTCATGTTAATCCGAGTGAAGTTATGACATAAAGGCGACAAATAAAACGGCGTTCATTTGAAAGACTATCTTGAAAAGAATATATGAAGATATTTTAGTTCGGCCAGCTGGTCTACTCCTAATTTAAATTTTATGATTATTTGTTTATCATTAAACCTGAATGGCTGCATTTTCTGACGCTTGGGCGCAAAGGTTTAACATTAAACCTAACATAGCATGGAGTAAATTCTCAACATTTTTTGGGGCTTTTGCAGCTATATTCTAAAGTTATGTTAATACAAATGTTGGCAGTTGAATAAAATTGTGTAGACTGGTTCATTACAGGCGTAGTTAGCAATGGAATAGCTAGCTTACAAGCAAATGCCCAATTCCCAACCATAAAACTGTCTGTTTTGCTAGACGTTCACGAAACCAGTCATCAATAGCTATTAAGAGCAATATTTCGGAAAGAGATGAATAATAAGCGATATCCTCAGTCTTTAAGTTCTTTAATTTCTTCGCATCTCCCTAATACAAAAGTAGAAATGGATGTTAGTTTGGGCAATGTAACGGCCTATATGGTATGAATTTATCTATTACAGAAATTTTAAGATTTACCAGAGCACTACAAAGGGGATCCACCATGTATTTATTAATAGATTCTCTGCAAATGATTCGAAATCTGAAGATAAAGTGATAAATGAAACATTCTTGTCAATATTGTTGCACACAAGTAGATTTTTACGGTTTCTTTTTCAGATTTTTAATTCATAAAAAGTTATACCTTTCCTGTTCTTGTAAACTTTTGATGATATCCAAGGTAACCCTTGCTAATCTTCGGTTCATACACGATATATTAGTCAAACATTGTAAAAATCTAGAAACAACATATTTAAAGTTATTACTACAGATATCCTTTGAATTATAATAATTATGCAATAAAGAAGCTACCGTGGTTGTTCTTGCAACTTGTTAAATAATATCCATTGGCATCTATTCGATCCTTTTACTAATAGGGCTATAATGATCGTTACATGAGTCACAACTTCTTCAATATCGCAATTAATCCATTTGGTAGCCATTTCCAAGAATTTGCAATCCTCTAATAGTATCTGTAAATTTCTATCTGTAAAGCGATTTCGAGAGTGATTTGTTGATAATTGATAAATCCGGTTTTCTTGATAACGTATGCATTGTGAGCAACTATAAATTTGAATCTAGCCAGCCAATTGTATATAATTTATTTCTCTTACCATTATTTTCAATAGCTGCGGTCATCATTCTAATCATGGCGGTAATTAAATTCACTTGAGTTTTATTAACGGTAGATTCTTTCCATAATCTGAAAGGGTAGATAAATGATATTAATGTAATAAGAGTAATCCATGCACTATCCAGAATAATTATTTGCAAAAATTCATCACTAACCGCGTTATAAAAGAATTCTTGTGAATAATTTCCCATCCTCCACACACTCTATAATATGCCTGCTTTAAATCTGCTGATTTAATAAGAAAATCGATTGTTATCAATCCTTGAATACTCTTAAAACTCTCGATAGAACTATTAATAGATGCTTATTTATTGTGAATGTTGGAAGTTTCTTTTGGTTATTATGAAATGAGGTAAATCAGTTATTGTAGACGCGCATTACCACCACCAAGCTGTAATCCTAAAGTATCAAGGGCAACAACGATATCGTTTTCTTCCGTTGTACTATCATTGCATTTGCCAATTAGTGTTTTAATCAATTCGTATTCCTGGCTCTCGTTTGTTGAAGCTGTAATTGCCTAAATTTTTTAATCCAAATTAATCAATTGGAGTTTCACTTTATATGATAAAATTTTAATTACTATGTGATTAATGCTCTTTTACCTCATTTTCTTCCGTTTTGCCTTGTCTTGCTATTTCGTTAAGTGTTTTATAATCTGTTGAATAATACAGAGTATCCAAAGTAAAGTTCTTTAAAAATGTTCTGAAATTGGCAAAACAGATATTGTTCTCGATCGTGATTTACGTATAGAATAACCTTGGATAATTTTGTTTCGCTTGGTTTTTTCAACAGCAGTATTTAGAATTTTGTCGGCCTAATACGTTACGAAGAAATAAGTAATCAAATAAGATCAATGCTGAAATTCTTAATGAATTGCAATGAAAACTTTTGAAAATTTACGATTGTTGTATAAATTAATGCTATGCAATTAGCAGATGGTTTAATAGTGGAGGGTTACTTTTGAGGTCCAATTTAAGACTGACTACTATTTCATTACTTCATTTTACGTGAGTACTAGTGATTGATATTACCTCGTCGTATTTAGCTTGCTGAATCAAAGCTTTTGAATAATGGACGTACGCTTTCAAGAATTTTTCATCAATCTATGATCATTGCGTTACCAATCGATGAATTAAAATTATTGCAAAAAGGATTACATTAGAGGTAGTATAAACAGTGTTAGATAATCGAAGATCGAACCCGTAATGCCATGTCACAGTCAGCGATGCAAGAGTCCCAATCTTTCAGTTTAACATAGGCCTAAAATAGATATTGAAAACAGGATTCATGGATAGAATCTATTTGGATTTAGTGTAGTTCAGTCTAACCAGACACTGCATCACATGCTGTTTCAGTTAATAGCAATTTCGCCTATAAACTAATTAGTATTTTACCTGTGCCCTGTTAGTGTAATAGACGGTGATGTGTTTTGCAGTTTCTATTGCTTTGGTATATTCTGCGATTGCTAAATCGAATTGGCCTTCTCGAAAGTATTTATTTCCTTGATCTTTGTGTCTATTTGCGATTTCTTCTCTTTTCTTGCGCCTTTCCGATCTTTCTTCAGCATCCAATTGTAAAGATCTACAAAATGCTTCTGCCAGTCAGCAGTAATTATCAACTTAATGATTGGAGAAATTGGCAAAGGTTTTGTCATATCATTTAAACAAATGGATAATGTTAGTTTAACCGATGCTGACCTTGATCAATGGATTGCTGGGGATTATCATTCTATAATAGTGAACAAATGGCATTTTATAACAGCTTAGTAAAGGTAAAGAGAGGTAATCTATCATAGCTTTAGCAATATTATTACTTTGATTAAAGTTGAATACTACGAGTATAATCTTCATAACCTATAGCATTGGTAAGGTACATCATATTAACGACAATTTTGGAGTAAAATACGTTAATAAAATGCTTACGTATTGACTGCTTGTGGTTGATTTATTGATGGAACTTTTATCATATTTTAATTTCTGGTTGCCAATCAATTCATCAGCCTTTGACATTGCCTCTTTAGCAACACCAGTATCAGAAGAAGCTAAGTCTTTGACCAGTGATTCTGTATGCATTGAAAGCAATAATTCGACAGTAAGCGCGTATTCATTAGCTTATTACAAGCCAGAAAATGTAGGTGAAGGCTGTTATGTATTTTATGGTGAGAAAAAGTGTTTGTCAATTGGAATCATCCATCGTTTTAGTATTCATTCCTTAACAAATTATGATGGTAAATATCATTGCAATAAAGTGTTCTCAACTGGTTATCGTTTAATAAACTTGAATAAGATGCTGTCATGATCAAGTTGATAAGAACTTACTATGCACTATCCGATAAAGAACATTATCATCGGGTAGCTTGAACGATGTTGACTTGAATAGTAATCCGACTGAGAAGGGTATCCATTTTTGGACAATTGAATACTATTTGAGTGGATTGCTATAAAATGACCAACGAAAGCCATTGCAAGTTGTCGTTTGCATTGAATTTACGCATAGAAGGATTATACTATTGGTAAAACGATTTTTCTAAATGATGTTAGGTTACATCAATCGAGAAAGTCTTGTCTTACAGTTACTATCCATAGGAGTTCATCGGAACAGTATTATTATTATTGTAACACTTTAAGATTGGATATTTATGTTTCAAGTTTCAGCTGTTGTTAGTATTTTATTACAGATAATCGATTACGGTCTGCTTCGCAAAATTAATAAGGGGAAGTTACTGCACTGGCACTGCATTATCGATGTATCGATAGGCTGGTAGTTAATGTACGCTTTAGGACTGTGTGTTTTTTTCCAGCCTTTTCCTCATCCGGCCGTGATCGCTTCACGAAAAACAGTTATAGAAGCGTCCCAAATAAATCTCCGTTATTTATAAAAAGTTAAAGTTGCAGTCAGTCTATTATTTTGTATTGCTAGAACGCGGTTAGTTTAGTCAAGTTCATCAGTGTTAGGTACGTTATTCTAAGTACCGCAATAATCCATGATTATTGCTTAGCAGTCTACCCAAACAGTCGTAGAAGTTAAAAGATAAACATGGATTGATTCTTGACCGTTCAATCAAGTTTAAATTGCGATTCGTGTATTGCTTATGCCGCTAGAGCATAGTCAAGTTGATCAGTGCGAGCTAACGTATTCTATCTGTACTGTTGATCGATCTAGCCAAGTATTCTAACATATCCTTTAGCCCTGTGGATTACATATTATTTTGGAGCCTTTCTCGAAGAACATTGATCAGTGATTACTCACTATTTACTGTGTTCGAACATGGACTTCTAAATTACCAATCATTCAGTAGTCCATAGCTACAACTTGAAAGATCAACATTCGTTCTTTACTCGTCGCTAAAATTTGCAGTTTGAGTCTAGCTGATCCTGCTAAGAGCACAGGCAATTTCAAGAAGTTCTTTAAGCTACCCGTCCTATCTGTCATGTTGATGGTTGGTCGATGTAGCCAAGTAGCCATTGCTTTAGCCCTATGTATTAATTTGGAGGCTTTCTCTTCTAGCACGATTGTAGACTGATCGTCGATCGATAATTATTCATCATCGCCATACCCAAGCAACGGATAATGTTTGTCCGTTGTTTGCAGTACATTAAGCTACCCGTCCTATCTGTCATGTTTACTGTTGATCGATGTAGCCAAGTAGCCATTGCTTTAGCCCTATGTATTAATTTGGAGGCTTTCTCTTCTAGCACGATTGTTGACTGATCGTCTACCGATCATCATCGTACTAAAACTACAGACGAAGTTTGTCCGTTGTTTATAGTATATTAACTACCCGTCCTATCTGTCATGTTTACTGTTGATCGATGTAGACAAGTAGTCATTGCTGTAGCCCTATGTATTAATTTGGAGGCTTTCTCTTCGAGCACGATTCTTGACTGATCGTCTACCGATCATCATCGTACAAAAACTACAGACGAAGTTTGTCCGTTGTTTATAGTCCTATCTGTCATGTTTATTACTGATCGACGTAGCCAAGTAACTAGCCAATGCTTTAGGCCTCCGTCTTATTAATCTCGAGGCTTTCTCCTATAGCACGATTCTTGACCGATAGTCTATCGATAATGAATCATCATCGTCAAACCCAAGCAACGGATAAAGTTTGTCCCTTGTTTATAGCCTAGATCAAGACGAGTGGGAAGGCGTTGTATCAAGGATAACCAATGTCCATTTACGGATGCTAGTAGAGAATGTCTATACAGTATATTAAGCTACCCACTCTATCTGCCATGTTTATTGTTGATCGATGTAGCCAAGTAGCCATTGCTTTAGCCCTATGTATTGATTTGGAGCCTTTCTCCTATAGCATTCGATTGTTGACTGATAGTCTATCGGTAATTATCATCATCATAAGCAACGGATAAAGTTTGTCCCTTGTTTATACTGTACTGTATATCAAGATGAGTGTGATTGCGATCTATCAAGGTTAACCCATGTCCATTTACTGATGCTAGCAGAAAATGGAATAGACTAATGAGTGCTTGCGATTTACATACCGACATTGTTGATTTTATCCAAGAAGGAATCTAATTCTTGTTCTTGATTCATCGCACTGTAGGCAGACACCTTTCCAATAAGTTATTAAAGCACTATCTCGGGAATTTGGGATCGATTGTACCACACGTCTCTTGCAATCAACCTGAACAAATGTTTCACTTAACGCTTGATTGGAAGGTTGAGAACTCGAGAAGGCGATTTTATCCACACCTGCGATGCTGTCGGTAGCTTAATGTTGGCAACGTCCGATTTCTACTAGTCAATGTTGACATAGTGTTGATTACCGACAGCAATCGCTTTGGATTTGGTGTCGATGTTGACAATAAAGTATCTCCAGCAGGAGATTTGTTGTCTTAGAGTAGACCATCACGTGAAATCAAGTACCACTGCAGTACTCTTATGCTATTTTACTGTATTGGATGAATGGCGGTCTACAATAGCAATCGCTGCCATTGAGCGAAACCTTGTACAATATGGATATTAAGAGAGACTTGGCCAATTGAAGTCTAGGCTCTCTCATGAGTATGATATTTATTTGACAATTGCAATCGCTGCCATTGAGAGAAACCTTGTACTATATGGATATTAAGAGAGACTTGGCCAATTGAAGTCTAGGCTCTCTCATGAGTATGATATTTATTTGACAATTGCAATCGCTGCCATTGAGCGAAACCTTGTACAATATGGATATTAAGAGAGACTTGGCCAATTGAAGTCCAGGCTCTCTCATGAGTATGATATTTATTTGACAATTGCTGCTTCAAGAAGGGCCAAAAGGCATTCGCTTGAGCATGTTGGGGTACTGGAGAGCAGTAGAAAAAAATAATCCACTCTAGTATAGTAGAGTTTTACTCGTAGAAGATGAAATGGATATTGACACGGTGACTTCAATATGGAGTTTGCACCCTAGCGGTGCAGCAGAGCAACATTCAGTTGAGACTGTTGGGCTACTGGAGAGCAGTAGATCGATGTATGAATCGTCGGACCGTAATCCGGTCCCAATCCGCTTGAAGGAGACCAGCCAGTGTACAGTACGCAGATACTGTACACTGTAGAGAAACACTGTAGCTTGACGAAGCGACCGGCATCGGATATACAGACAGGCAGACTAAGTTGTAAAGCTTGATCGGGCCCAGTAAAAAAGATCGTCAATAGAAGAAATTAATTAATTAATTTCTTCTGCGATCGATATTATTGCAAAGTAATTGCTAGTTATGCATGCCTAGGATAGAGAATATTGACGGAGAAAGCTCGTTCCTGATGCCTTTAAAGTGAGTGAAAGGAAAGTATTTCTGTTGATTGATTATTACGAGTTAAGCAGGCGTCGTTCTTTTCCATCGGGCTTGTCCCTACCTGGCAATATTGGATGATTTGTGCCTGAATTTGAGCAAGCCATCCATCCGGCCTTGGTTAATTCATTATCGTTAGGAAGGAAGGGGGAAAAAAAAAGAAAAAGAAATAGAAAACAGTGGATAACATCATTCTTCCTATCGAAATTGATTTGAGTAATAATCCATTTAGACTACAATCGATGAAGACAAGGATAAAGAGAAAATTGGTTGTATCCATTTTTCAACTTTCATCGGACAGTACATCAAGGACAACAACATCAGCTTAGGTGGAGAGATTGAAGGGCTCCAAGACAAGGATAAAGAGAAGATTGGTGGTGTCCATTTTTCAACATTCATCTTGCTCCATTATTACAGTACGTCAAGGAGAACAACATTAGCTTAGGTAGAGAGATTGAAGCACTTGAAGACAAGGATAAGGAGAAGATTGGTGGTATCCATTTTCCAACTTCCATCTTGCTCCATTACAGGACGTCAAGGAGAACAACATTAGCTTAGGTAGAGAGATTGAAAGCGCTCCAAGACAAGGAGGATAAAGAGAAGATTGGTGGTATCCATTTTCCAACTTCCATCTTGCTCCATTACAGTACATCAAGGACAACAACATCAGCTTAGGTGGAGTGATAGAAGCACTCTTTCGTCATTTGTACACCAACATTTCTGACTAAATTGGATTGAGCCATTCCTTTCATATACGATGGCTAATTCGGTCTCTCCTGTAGGTAATATTGCTCGTGGATTTTTCAATCGTTTTCAGTTTGGATTATCCGCATCCACCAACAATCATGATGGCTTATCCAATAATCTATCCTCCGATGAACCTTTAGCATTGTGGATTGATCGCAAATTAGTGGATAAAGTAACACGCATCTTAACCAAAATTGTCAAGCTATGCCAACGGCCTAAAATGAATTTAAAAAATAATCCACCTTATATCATTGATATTTTAACACAAATACAACATCATATCTTGACTGTCATACAAGAACAACGCGGCGACTTGGATAAATTAAATCAAATTGAATATCTAACCTTTTATTTTGGTAATTTAATGAAAAAATGCAAATATACAACCAATTTATTCAAAGCTGCTAAAGAGAAAATATACGATACACGAACCATCTATCGTTGTACGCTCAATAAGATGAGCTTGATATTTAGTCATATGCTGACTGAATTGAAAGCAATCTTTCCTTCAGGTCAGTATAACATTGATGATTATCGTATCGTCGATGAAGGTGCTTGCCAATTTTGGAAAGAATCTTTCCGATCCAGGTAAATACAGTAAATCAAGTATTGCTTGAATACAAAGTCTTTCATACACGCTTTTCCCTTCTTTCTTCTTGATCAATCTACTATCTTACTTTTGCATCATTTTATCCCAAGCAATCTGTATTTTTTTTTATTTATTTTTCATCTATTGAGCATCAAAAGGAAGAGAGATTATCATTTCAAGCCTTGAACAACTCTCTTTCTCCCTTGTTCCATCGTCGACCAGTATATCATGCAGATACACACACTATGTTGCAATAGTCTATGGAAAATGTACAGTTGAAACGGATTAACCATCACAAATCCTACACCACCTACCTCTAAATGATGACAATGATAATCATATTGCTCATCATCAGCGATGAAAGATGGAAATTGGATAGCATATCAGTTCTCTTCATCTGGTAGACAATAATAGCATCATGGTAGAGGATACAAAATCCATCTTGATTATTGTTGATTCATGTTGTTTCGTCAGCCTCTTCCAATACCCAACACACAAGAGTGGAAATACTTTTTCACGCTGTTGGATGCTATAAGTAGGATAGTTTATCTTTTGATGTCCAATTTCTACATAATTGGAAAGAAGTAGCCATACTTTGATCAACATGATATACTCCCCCTATTCGACCATTTCATTTGTCACGGTTGATTAATCCTCTTTCGTCTACTTGATAATATCTAATAATATTGCTATGGATCCTAGTCCAAGTACATCGATAAAAGTTGATCAAAGCCCTTGTCATCGCATGCCATGTCGACTGATTGGATAGGATAAACTTGATTGCATGGCTAGACTGTCTTCATCATCGATCATACAAGGCGAATGATAGAGCATTCATCAATAGGACTTCCAAAAGGCTTTTCCTTTCCAAGAGCATATTTTTTTTTTCATTGACCTTGATCGATTGAACTGTCGATATTGGCTTTAAGATATTATACCGTAGTTTTAATATTGATCAACCTGACCATTTTTTCCCTACTAAAATGAATAGCCAAAAGATGATGGCGATAAATGAATCTATCCATCAACGCATTTCTATATTTGATTAAGCATTTTCAACAGCATGAAACTGATACTGTTGTCGATCATCATTTTACTTTTTGATAGGCAATCCATTGCCACCTTACTTCCGCCTTCTATTTTACCAATTGTCATGGTAGAAAACTCTTTTTTTTTTCATCTTGCTTAAAATGATACTGTACTTACTAGTATGAAGAGGTTATTGTACTGTTTAATTTCCTATTACTGTTTGAGTAATCCTTGTCGATTTCGTCAACAATAATCAGCTAAAATGGCCCAATAATGAGCGTGTAGAGATGGAAACGCCAGCAAAATGAATGCCTCCATTTTTTTTGGGGGGGGGGTCTGATCACAATCATCCATTTTATACTGTTAGAACTGGACAGCTGAAATGGATGTATCGGCAAAAGGAATAGACTTTACCACCTTAATTGCATTTTCTTGCTAGGGTTCAAGCTTACTGCACGTTATTCTCGTACATGTATGATTCAAAATGAGATTCATAATTCAAGTAAGCAGACATTGACAGTAAGGCATAAAGTTCTTCCCCCCCCCAAAATACCCTCTTCTCATCATACTTGCCATACTTGTTGACCCAGAAAAATAGCAGTATTTTAGTATTGATACATTAACTTTATATTTTGGATACATTTGTTTTCTCAAGAAGGAAAATAGAACTTAGCATAACACTAGCGCCATTGATAGGGGAAAGAAACATCATTTCATGCCAGTTACGCCATCACATTGAAGAAAACTCCTTTCTAGCATACAACATGATACTAGGCTTTTTTTTTCTCCATGCCAAGTGATCAATTCTTGTTCAATTCGTCATTGCCATCATTGTAGAGTCTGGAAAATACGGCTAGGATGGTACAAAGGGGATGTGGGAAGAAGGTATTACCATCCGATGCATTTTGTGGCATCAATTTCATTACTACCAATAGGTTTCTTATACTCGTTTTGATGGAATGAAAATGAGAATTCGTTACGCTTAAGTTCATTTCAATAGCTTATACTCTAATTACCAGTGGAAGGGATGAAATGTTCAATAATCATATCGAAAAAGAAAGCTAGCTTGAGAACATCCCAGCACATTCTCCACTGATCAGGTAATGCTTTCATTGGCTCAAGAATGGAAGCTTACCGTAATTAGATCAACTTTGAAAGGCCATTTATTTAAAAAATAAAGCCCAACAACCCCATAGTCTTCTTCCAATTCATTGGAAGAACATAGAAGATAAAAAAAATAGGAATGGTTGCATTTCTCTTTTGGATTTAAAAATTGGACTATTAGGCCATGATAAAATGCTTTAACTTGAATCATTTCAGCCTTCTAAGTTATCATTACCAAAATTGTACTTTCTACTATCCACAAGGAAGGAAGTAAAAAAAAATAGAAAGGAAAACAGTTACCGCTCACTTTCGTATTAATTGTTGGTGGTATTTAGTCCAACCTTTTAATGATGGGACGATAGCCACTGTCTAAATTTGTTTCTGTTTTCATTGTTGTTAACCAATTTTCTTGACTGTTGAAAGAAGTCAATGATTATAAAATCGATCCTGCTGTACATTATATTATTGTCCACCAACATGATCGGGTTAATGCGGTTTTGGGCTGCATAGGAAGGCAAGAAAATAGAATTGGCCCCAACTTTATTAAACTCCAATATATTGAACAGCATAAGGTCTTTCAATTCATCGATACTCATATGCAATACTATTCCGTTGATCGTCTTGATGAAATGTTGAAATAGGAACTTGTCATGTCCAATATGTCGAATGCCCCCCCCCCCTCCAAAAGAAAATGAATACTGTAGCATTAGTATTGAACCAGCAAAAGCTTCACAACTGGTCTTATTGAGGAAAAATGCCTAAAAATTATATTCTATGTAGCTTTATAGCACAGCTATCCTTGTATTATTGCAATGGCGACAATATATCCAATAGGAAAAAATGCTGCAGTTTTGATATAGCAAATAGCAAATGCTTCACGTAGAACTCTTGAGGAAGAAAGCTTAAAAATCATACTCTATGTAGCTTACGCTATACCTATCCTTGAATTGCTGAAATGGCGACAATATATCCAATAGGAAAAAATACTGCAGTATGGATATAGCAAATCGCAAAAGCTTTACGTAGAACGCTTGAGGAAGAAAACTTAAAAATCATACTCGATGTAGCTTACGCTATACCTATCCTTGAATTGTTGAAATGGCGACAATATATCCAATAGAAAATAAAAATACTACAGTATTGACATAGCAAATAGCAAAAGCTTCACGTAGAACTCTTATATATATATCCTTGAATTGTTGAAATGGCGACAATATATCCAATAGGGAATAAAAGTACTGCAGTATTGACATAGCAAATAGCAAAAGCTTTAAGTAGAACTCTTGAGGAAGAAAGCTAAAAATCAAACTCGATGTAGCTTACGCTATACCTATCCTTGAATTGTTGAAATGGCGACAATATATCCAATAGAAAATAAAAATACTGCAGTATTGACGTAGCAAATAGCAAAAGCTTCACGTAGAACTCTTATATATATATCCTTGAATTGTTGAAATGGCGACAATATATCCAATAGGGAATAAAAATACTGCAGTATTGATATAGCAAATAGCAAAAGCTTTACGTAAAACTCTTGAGGAAGAAAGCTAAAACTCATTCTCTATGTAGCTTGCACTATACCTATGATATGTTGAAATGGCAACAATATGAATTTGCCATATCCAATATGCCCAATAGAGTAATGACGACATTATTCAGATACTTCAAACAGCAAGAACTTCACGTCTTGTTTATGAAGGAAGAATGGCTAAAAATTATATTCTATGCAGCTTAAAGTAGACTTATCCCTTATTTCCAACATACAGCAATTTTACTTACAGTATTGCAGAAATTTGAAATACGGTTTCATTTTACCCTTACAATATCTGAGAGGATTTTATAGCCATTTCATCAAGTTTTCATTGTCATCCTTAAGGCTTAAGAGGATTGTTATACTGCATAAAGTTGTTCAATTCTACCGCAATAAGTTCTAGCAGTGTAAAAATGAATCCATTTACATGCTACTACAGTATCAGCACTTGATCAAGCAAGCATAACATATGGAAGCAATTAGTTTTCCTTTTATAAAAGTGATCCATCAATGATGAAATACTTTGACTTGCCATTCTTGCTCAGTCATGAATCGCGTAAATCTGATCAATGATGCCCATTTTATTTGGTGAATTTCATGATGTCAACTAATATTGATCTATCTTCAAAGGTATTCGCATAATAATAGTAAAGGAAGTATAGAAAGTAGCTGTCCTAGTATCATTCTCTTATGGTCAAAATTAAATCATTGCCATCATTAAAAATAGCAAAAGCGTGATAACTCTATCTTGATGATTGTAGGTGATGTACAATGTTTTCTAAATTAGGATGCAATCGATCCGATCATTCCAATGCCTTCAAGGCTTGAAGAAGTGGAAGAGAATAACGTAGAGCAGTTTACTTTCTACCTGGAAACAGTTTACACTTATTCAGGATCGGGCAAGTGTCTTACTGTTAAGACTCTTGCTTACAGTCTATCCTAATAGCTTATATTAATTTATCCATAAGATAGATCAAATTGTAAGGGCTATAGCAACAAAGTATTCATATTATTTGTGCAATCCTTAGATCCCATTTTCTTCCTATTCTATCTGGAATAGATCAATTTAATCTATAACAGAATGGCAACTTTTATAACATGAAACTTTTCTAGGCCACAACACCACGTTTTATAAATTATGCTCGTTAATATCTGTAATTTACAACAACTTAACAAAGATTCGTAGTACTTTATAGACTCGATGGAGTAAATGGAATGACAACTTTTATGGCCATAACCCTTTCTAGGCTACCAAGCCTTCTTGCTTATTCAGTATTTTTATATTGATAGAAGTTGATGATTGTTCAAGAAGGTTGCAATATTTTTTAATACTAATTGGCATGCCTAGAACAGATTCGTACATCTACCCAAGAAAATCGAAAACAAACGAGGATGAGTGATTCTATTTTTATTACTATTCGCCAATACGACTTGATCCTGCAATATCAACAAGGACTTTAGTAGTTCTTCTGACGACTACGAAATAGACGTTGAATCGACATGGACAAATACTTTTCGTACACTGTTATGACAAGACATCAATTTCAAGCCTGCTAAATTGCTTTACTTACCTACATTTCCTTTTTGCAGTAAAGTCAACTACTGAGTCTATTTCTCAACCGTTCTACGCTTATTTTTTAGAAGATTTCATTTATCGAATCATATTGATTTTCGAAATGATTTGACGTGATAGATAGCATAAACTCACCAAAGTTCATGGCACCTGACAGACATCTTGTCGACGAGTTGATGTGCTAATTTATAGTGGATATGTTAAAAATTTGATCGATGAAATATCATGTTGATTTCTGTGAAGTTTCTCTGTTACAATCATCTAATTAATTATACACTACACTATTTCAATGTGAACTTTTTGACTCTACTAATCCATTTCCGGAGTTGCTCACGAGGTGGTAATTTGTTATTTTGACGTTAAGAAAGGCTAAACTGTTTCTATATGTCTCGAATATGTTTAGAGCTATTATACCATGGACAACTTTCCGCGATGCTTTGGAGCGTGTGCATGGCCAATTATCTGATCATGAATCGATTTCTTTAAAGGGCACCATGGATTTAACATTAAATCAACATATATCCATTTTTGAGTTCGATATTTTCAGCAGACTATTCCAGCCTTGGGCTACTATTATGCATAACTGGAATTCTTTGGCTATTTCTCATCCAGGATATGCAGCATTTTTAACATATGATGATGCAAAAAATGCCTTGGAGCCATTCTTGGATAGACCAGGAAGGTAAAAAAAAAATTACATTAAAATACATTATGCTATAGTACAAAAACTAGAGATGGGATACTTAGTATTATAATAGTTTTGAAGTAGTTGTCTGTATACAACGGTTAGCGATGAAGAGTTTGACGTATTCGAAAATTTCTGCTTTTATAGACGTTTTATTACTATTCGCCTATTAACAATTTTTCTATGTCGTCTGTTGTACAGTAAATATTATTTTAATTACTCCTTTCTCACCGTTGTAATCCTACAGTTTTCTAACTTAAATAAGTGTAATCGTGCTATTATTTTGACTATAATTATTGCTAATGTGTTTTATAAAAATTTAGAAACAAATATAAACTTGATTAAGCCAATTCGTAATAGTTGCAGTAAAAACTAATTTAACGAACAACCTTAATTTTCTTTATAATTATCTAGTTATATATTCAGATTGAGCTGTACACGATTGGGCCAGTGGGCAATTGCGTACGTTGAAGAATCACGAAATGTCGTACAAACTATACCCAATAATAAACCTTTACGGCAAGCACTAATTGACGGATTCAATGATGGAATGTAAGCGTGTTTTAGATATTATCACTGAAAGTAAAAGATACTCTGTTTACAAATACTATCTTTTAATTATAATTTAATAACCTATCATCTATTATGGGTTTATTTTTACTACAGATACCTATATCCAGCAGGAAATGATGCTAATCCTGACTTAACACTAGATGCTCCGTCATCGCAACAGCATATGACTGTAACAAAGGATCAATATGACATATACGTTAACATGGGTAGTACGTTTGAATTATGCAAAATTTGTGCTGCAAGAAATAAAGATGCTTATCTCGAACCATGCGGTCATTTAATGTGTGAGCAATGCCTGCAACGTTGGCAATTAAAAGGCGGTCAGGAATGCCCGTTTTGTCGCTGTCGTATAGTGGTAATAAATGTGAACGTTGTTAATACTGCATCGATTTAATATATTAGCATTGTAAATAGATATATCAATTGTGACATTGGATTAATTTGATTCGCGTCGTTAACTTACATAATAACCTATCACATCCTAGAAATTAGTACATTATTAAGTGTTGTATAGATTTACTACAGGAAATATACTTTTGCATGAGATTGATTTAATTCCAACCATTTCTACTTAATTGAGTACGTTTTCATTTATAATATAGGGTTGGAAAAAGGTCTATATTGAACCATTTAACTTACCTGTATTAGACGGTAAAGCCAATTCGATCTCTGATCTAAATACTGTAGGAGCAAGTTCATCCGATGAGGTAAGCAACGATGGAATGAATACTTCTTTTTTATTAGTCATTTAATGCCCTTATTAGTTTGCAGTTCTCATTCATGCACTGTACCTACAGTATTTTAAAAAAATAATGTCGCTACCAGTACGAGAAAAATTGACACGATCATGAAAAGTTCGTGCTGTAGCTACGACGCAAAATTCATGACACTGCCGTGCAAAACTCAAGGTGGCGACGTTATTTTTTTAAAATACTGTTTTAGTTAACTATCGATTTAATAGCTAATATGATATGTAATGCGACTATTTCAGGTTACGGATGAAACTGTATTAGGGGCTACCGCTCGAATACCAACTGTTGCCGCTGATATTGCAGCGCGTGCAAAAGTACAAAATAATAATATTAACTCTGATAATAATTATAATCAATCAACCGCTTCATGTGACATAGCGCCATTTGATAGCAGTGTTGTTTCTGTTGGTACTAATCATGAAAGAAGTAATGGATCTTTAAATAATGTAGCGTCCAATTTCCTAGTTGGTCAACAGTTACATATCAATAACATAGCTTATGAAGGAGACATTTCTGCGAATGGATCACAAATTTATAGAAGCGGTGGCGATAATCATGCTTTCTCCAATATTGATGTCTACGAGGATCAAGCTAGTAATGATGCTTACTGTAGTATTGATGATGATGATGACAATGTGACAGATGAAAGAACATTAACTCCTGAGGACTATACCGAGAATTTCCCAGAACGATCAAATGCTACGATGAATCCTGCGTATGGTAATTCTGATAGCATGCTACTTAATTCTTTAGGTCCCCTTCCAATAATACGGAGTAGTATTGTGGTCGATAGCATGATCGATGGCAATGATAACTTAGGAATATATGAAAACGACAACGATGAAGAGACAAATGTCGAGGCCAGCAATGACGAACAATGTGAGGGGACAAGTGAAGCAGGCGTGTTAGCTTCAAATCATGATGAAGATGGGGCATTGTATCAAGTTGGCGAGGATGATATAGCAAGTGAAGCAAACGTATTAGATCAGAATTATATTACAAATTGGAAAACTCGGAGAGTTGACGAACAAGCATTTTGCACACTTATAATGAATGGTTTTGATGAAAAAAAAGTTGAGCAAGCTTTAAAAATCGCGAAAAACGATTTGGAAATTGCTGTATGTATCTTGAAGCTTTATGTTCCGAAATGATAACATGTTAATTAAGCAGCAAAAGGAATACTTTTAGATTGATCAAAGTTTTACACTGTAATTTCGCTAATGCTAATTTATTATTCTAGCTTAGATAAATTTTAAGGTAACAGCTACTATGTGTGTGTGTGTGTGTAAGTGTTTGTGTGCGTGCGTATTTAGATCAAACAAATATTTTCAAATCGAATCTTACACATTAGATTCTTATTCTAGTTCAAATGAAATTAACAGCAGAGATAGATTGCACTATAAATGACTTGATATTAGTGCAAGACTGTAGTAAAATCACTATGCACGTGTTACTATAAACTGGTTTATATTTCTTGACCTAATGTATAGTAAGTTTTAGTGAAACTTTATGTAGGTCTGCATTCTATTCATAACTTTTTCTGATAAATCTGTAGAATAGACAGACATTTTGTTCGCATCATATTACATAAACTAGCCATAGCGATTAGATTGTAATGTGATAATTTCTATAATTTTTAAAGTACTGAATATGCTTTACGCCACATTATGCACATCATGAATTTGGTTTGATTGCTACAATTGATTAATGAATTGCATTTTTTGAAAAATGTCTTGTAAACTATCCTATTCACCTGCATTTACGCACTACCATTTTTAATACAAATTTTGCAGACGTTCACATATGTATAATGATTAGATTTATGGGCGTACAGCAAATAATAAGATTTAATCCATTCTTAATATTCTGGCAATTTATTTAAATGATGAAAATAGCTCAGTTAGCTTTAATCACTATCGGTATCACCAATTTATCTAAAATGCACCTGCCTTAATCACTCATTCACTTATTAATTTAATTAGCTGTAAATTACCTTTTTCACATTATATACTAGACTCAATCTTATTTGGCAGAACAACCAGATATCGTCGTCTATCCGATATCTGATAGTATTATACATTGCCTTTTGGTTTATGATGAAATCAGACCAACAATTTATGTCATTTTTATAGAATTTTTTTGCATTTATTTTCCTCATCATTTGTACTGTACTACTAACCACATAACCATCACGATTGTAATTATCGCATCTAGTTAAATGGACCCGTCTATGTTACACCGGAGCAGGCATAGTTTTATTGTTGACTTCTATAAGTGTTACTTGGTTATCGAACACCAATAATAATATTAATTATCAAAGACAGATATGTTATTAAGCACTTGGTTTGGTGAAAGAATATGTAATTTGTATGTGTTAGTCTTCATATTAATGGTTTTGAATAAATAAATAAATAAATGAAATACATTTTGGTCGAATCAAAATTGATCTTGTAACTTGTGACTACTTGCATAATTAGATAAGTTGTGGTTTTACAAGATAAACATTCTTAATTTCAAGTTTTATTGAATAAGTTAGCAAGAATTAAATTTCTGCCTAATTTTTTTCTAATAGGATTTTCTTGCAGAATACTTGAATGCTTAAGCATATCATATGAAAATTTTAGTTCCAATTCTATTACCATAGTGAAATTGACAGATAGAAATCAATACACGCCATAATTTTGTGCGATATCAATTTATGCTGTTGCGAGCACATCATCATAAAGTTATTGACTGTAAGAAAGTATCAGCTAGTCGTCTTTAAATACAAGACAAGCATATACTTTGTAGCACTTTAACGTATTAGTATTAGTTATAATCATTAACGGAGATGATAATTGACAGAAGTCTTGGTAGGTTTTCAAGTTATACTGAATAGTTACAGTCAGTTATATTATCATAAATCTGCGGTATATTGTATCAACATACAAACACATTAATTATTAATGATGCAGTCATTTATTATTACGTTGGCAATAAAAGCGTCTTTATTTATTTTCAAGGAAACTAATAAAGCTCTTTTATAACGTAAAATTTCTTCCTGGTGATGATTATTAAATAATATACGTTATCAAGATATATTATTACTATAGGCATTTATCGATCAGTTAAAATGGTTGGGGTATTTGATTTATTGTACAGTATTTATTTGTAAATACTGAACATAAATGCAGTATATCTTAAACTACACAATAATCCTAAGACCATATTAATCTCAATCCTGCTATTATTTATCTTACTAATATTAATTAAGACTGTTGAATATCAATCTCATTTTCGCATTTTGATCCTCCATCAAAAATCATGATCTTACACTGGAAATAATGAATTACTCCTATTTCTAACGATTTAGTAACTAATAAGAGATTTGATAATAGCTATGGTACAGCGCTAAATAAGCTTAAGACTAAGATTATATAGTCTGATTGCAGTTTGATGGTCCTTGGTAGTTGTAAGACGAACCTAGTCTTATGTAATAAAGTGAAGTATACTAGAAACTGTAGTTCTTGTCATATTTTTGAGAAGACATTATATCACAATCGCACAAAGTTTTCCGTTACTGTTTCTCTATCATTAGAAGTCTTTCAGTGCAATAATTATTTATAGACAGCAAGCAAATTTGATTATCTATGACTAATTTAATCACATCCATTTATGTTGTATAAAATTGGCACCTTAGAGAATAGACAGTACTGTATAACAAAATACTTTGGTTCTATTCTCTATACCGTTGCAAATAGAACTTAATCTTACTCCCAATCCAAAGTCATACAGTGCAATAATGAATTGCAGATAGCAAGCTAGTTAGTTAGCAATGGTTGATTCGATCATGTCCATTAAATAGTATCAATTTCATAGGTAGTGAGAGATTCGACGGTACCATTACTGTAATATCGAAGCATTACCGTATGTTGTATTTTTCCCAATCGTTGCAAGAGAGTTTTTATCGTACTTTAACTCAAGATATGCAATGTACTAATCATCAATGAATAGCATGCAATTGAATTAGTAAAGATTAATTTGATCGTTCATTAAAAATTGTATAGATCCTTGTTGATGAAAGCAAGGCAGGGAGACAGAAATTTCAATGACAGCGATAAATTAGAAAGGATGAACAGTACAATGTCAGTTATATCATTTTAATTTATTCAGATCCTGAGATACACCAGGAAATACGTAGAATTCTTTTTCATACAGTTAAAATAGCATATTTCTACCCCAAATGACAAAATAAGACGTTCATTTTTACTCTTGATTCCAGTAAATTTTACAGTATTAGCCCAATGAATGATCTAGTTATGAAATGTAGAACTGAGATAGAGATGAAATACTACATATTAATATAATCTTGATATTGTTAAGGTGATGCCTAACCTGGTGCTATTGCTTTACATTACTAAAAAGCAGCAAAACGCACTATTATATTAGAGCATTAGGCTTTTCCTTATTGCAATCGACTACAAATCTTTATACATTTGGTTTTCTAGGTTACACCAAATTACTATTAAGTGATATCGGAATTCTTGCCATGATTCAGTCACGAATCAAGTAGTTGCAGTCGTGAAAGTTGTCCAAAAAATCATCAGTAAAGTATACAGAAATGGCTACTTGAGGTAAAAAAATGATACACTAAAACGGGATCTTTCCACTATTGGTTCAAAGAAAAGGTGTGAGAATTCACGTCGCCATATAAGCTAAGCAGTTAATTTCTTTTCGGCTACAATGATCAGTACCAATATGTCCAAGTTTTAAAATTTATAATGATGAATAAATAGTTTATTTCCAGGAAGGTTTTCTGAATATCGACTTAATAATAGCTAGTTTATAGGTAAAACGTAGATTGTAATCTTGACCGAAGAAGTCTATCGCTATTGTCGTGGTTGTTGTTGCTGCTGTAATTTATCACGAATGTTACAGTAGCGGCAACCTTTCTTTTTCTCGCACTTTTGATCGCCACCATTAACATCGTCATCGTCACTACTAGAAGCATCACGATCTTCAAGTTTAACATGTTTGGAGTATATGCAGCAACATTTCGATGATTTACGATTCAGGAATTCATTATCGACCGTGTTAGCGTCCCACTGGACACGTTTTTTATTTTTCGGCTTGGTTAATTTCAACGTTTGCGTCTAATAGACCAAGAGGTTTCATATTATCAGCCAATGGAAAATGGAAAAGAAGAAAAAAGAATTTACATCATGACTGTGATCCGCATCATAACTTCAATAAGAGCTTCCTATTACAGTCTAGCAAATTATCAACCTTCGAATAGTCATTATCAGCTACAGTATCTCAAGCCATTATGCTATCAGTCCCTTGCTACTTTTTTAACTAGTTTGCTTCGATGAAGTTCAATCAAGGGAAAGTAGGTTAGGCATTTTAACCATCTACAAGAATAACTATTTCTTACGATGCTACATGAAAATGTCAGCAAATACAGCACTACAGCCATATTTGATAATTACAATTGATCGAATGGATAGATTTTTACATCCTCTCTCTTTATGTTTTGATATCTATTTATTGAACTACAGTACAGTACAGTAGGCCTCATTTTATCTACAGCATCATGATCATTTTAGAAAAGTATAGTAGATATTATATATTACTGGCTATCCAATAGCCTGCAGGATGACAGTATTGAAATATTCGTATAGAAAAGGTTCTCTAACTATCCTATCGTAGAAGCTAATCATTTCTTAACATGATTCGTACAAAGTGGCAAACAGGCAAATCTTAGGACCGCTATAACCATGCATGAAGAGAGGACACAATCAAGAGAAATTAGCGCGCTAAAGTGTCAGACCCAACAACTCTACTGCTTCCATGATCAAAAGTAAAAGTTATAAAGAATGTACATTACAAACTAGAATTTTATGTCCTTCGACAGTCCAAAATAATTGTATCTTAATAGTTACAACCCTCATTATGATTCCTGACTAGTCACAACAAACTACAGCCCTAATCATACCCACATCAAGGAATCGAACCGATTTTGTCATACGAACAGCCATAATAACTGAAATAAGAAAGGCCAAATCTACATACGGCTTACGATTTTTGAACGACAGCAATTGATAAAGTGATGAGCAATGCACACATTCAGTATGTAAACCAAAATGAATAGATAGTAATCATAGCATCGCATCTTACTGATAATAAACTGGCTTGGAAATCTACGGAAAGTCAATAATGATAATATTTCACAAGCACTGTACATAAAAACTGAAGCTCATCTACTATGCTATATTCGTCAAGCAAAATGTCATGAATGTCCGCATCTACTTCTTTCCATCACACTATTTTAAGTTCTTGGATTGAAATCAATACCCAAGAACTATCTTACTTGTATTTCTAATTGAAATCACTCATTTTCAGGGTGTTCTTGGTCAAGTATTTCATTTCATGACTAAAAATAATAGTGTAAATTCTTCATTTTCCATATTAGATAGTGTGGTATACTTACAGTTGCAGCGTTAGCATGGACGGTTTCTGAGATTGTCCGCGTTTTTGACATGCTGTTGGTATTCATTAGGCCTTTTATTGTAGAATAAATTGATGCTTAGCTCTCCTTTGCTAATAGCAGCAGTAGTAAAAATGGATCAAGTTCAGTAACCTAAAGGAGAAAATGATGGAAATTGCAGACTCATCAATCTCCAATGTTGGAACTAGTTTTGATGTCGGCAACTGCGGATTGCGATTTGCTATAACAACGCGTATATCCGTCAGCCCGGCCAGATGCACAGTGCGTTGTACTGTACACTGTACACTGTACACTCAAAGAATTCATACCATTTCTTGCAGTCGGGTGGACGCTCGGACGCTTGTAGTCCAAAAGACTCGTAGTTTAGTGCGCGATTGGGTACATATATGCATTGACAGTATACAAACTTGGTCATCTATTTCAAGAGACTTTGATGCAGAAACCACTCTTACCGTTGTAATAGTTTTCATCATTGACAATACTGTCTACAATGAATTGTCAAACTGCTGCTGCTTGGATATCCTCATCATAATACTGTATTCTAGTTATTCGTCTTGAGGTGGACAAGCGCATATTTTATTATTTTCAATCCATTGATACTCGTATTCCAGCACAGTTACATACAATAGCTAAACAAGTAGAGTCTAATAAATCCATGGTACAGTAAATGTTGAATCAATTCTTACGTTTAAATTGTTCATAAGCTCGCATCAGCAAGCTGTTGTACAGGATGATATTGTACAGTTAAACAGTACTACGCAGAAATATCAAGTTCTTTTAGTATCATCAGCTACATGTATCAAAGCACTTATCTTCTTCACGAATCTGCCTGTACTGTATAGCTAGTCATTCCATCTCAACAATAACTCAACATGCTCATTTTCGTGCAAAAATAATTAATTTTGAACAGTTATCCTTAGGCGTATAACGAAAATAGACTCTACATGTATCAGCCTGAAATTTATAGTCCACTTATCACGTCACATCGATACTCGACATACGCACTTACAATAAAATTAAAGCCCATTATTACTTTATCGTAACGTAAATACAAGTTCATAAATCACAATTCCACAGATTGTTTCAACTGCATAGTAATTTTATTGCAAACGCAATAGCAATCATTATATAATATAGTTTCATTTCGGGCATTAAAGTTTCATCATCAATTTAAAAAAGAAGACATTGTACGCATATTGCTACCCAATCCATATATGGCTAATTATAATAGCATCTAATCATTAAATTTACTCAACGTTATCCTTTCAACGAAATTGTGTTGGGCTAATACGTAGCCCAATGCAGTCTTTGCCAATTTCACAGATCTATTAGAAGAAAACGATTATTTCATTAAAATTTTATTAAAGAATGGCTGTAGTATGATAAATTCCAAAATAAGTTATTTACTTGAGTAACGGGACATAAACGCCCTTTATGTTCTGGTAAATATGTCGTTTGAGTCAATGGACATTTTACGTGTGGCTTCCCTCTAAATTAATCGGCAATTTCAATGACGTTAATGCTAAGGCTTGTAGAAATAAAATAAAACAATATCCAGCCATTTAAAGCTATTACCTATATATTGGTTTATATGATAGGCCACAAATTGTGAAAGGATTATGCTCGTCGTACTCTAGCTCATGAGTGTCTGTTGGGTTTTTGTCACATGCTTGCAAAATCTTTCTCACCTAATATATCCAATAGTATATTACTATCAAGATAATACAAGCCTAATACTAGTTTTAGCATCATTAATTATAGTAAACCTGTTTTGCAACATCTGGACGCGGACCCAGATCCAACAGACGTCTAGCAAATCCACCAGCTCCTTTAAAGTTCTTGATCTAGCGAAATACAATTCGTAACGCGTAAGTCACGCTGCTACACTAATCAATCAATAGATTTGAATATTTTATAGATATACCTTGTAAAACAAATTACATGCCGTACGCAATGTTAAAATTAAATGGACAGGTTGAAGATTGCAATGTGTAAAGTAGGCAGCCATCTACAAGGAAATAAATAATTGATATTTAATGACAACATAAATTACTGACTAATTATCAATCAGAGAAATATACTCCGGGATTACCTCACACTGGCGCTTTTGCTCTTCCAACGTATTCTGCAATATGATATTATAAAAAAATTACTATTTATAAGTGATACGTAATACTTTTAAATCCAGTCACAATTTATTTTATTTTTACTTTTGGCATTTCTTTTCGCTTAATTTCCATAGATAAACCAAGTATATATTCATTACATATTGAAATCAACTGCTGCACCTAAACATTCAATCATTGAAAAAGGGGAATCAGACCTTAAAAACAGCTTCAACCAACTAAAGTAAAGGAAAACAACACTTTTAGTGCTTATTGAATTAACGTACCTCATTCACTTCTTGTCGAGAATCTACAACTAGCAACAAAATTTTATAAAGAATTTTTCGAAATTTTTCAACTGCTTCCTGGAATTTCCCAGAAGTAGTTAATTGATAAGCAGCCTAGAGTGAAGTCGAAGAATTCGTGAGCTTAATTTCTAAGTAATACATTAATTATATAATATATACAATTACGATATCAAGTGCAAATACTTACTTGAAGTTTTTCTACAAGATTACTTAATTTACATTTAATAGCAGGAACACCGTTACGGGCTCCAGCTTCTCTCCTGCTCAGTAAATTTGCAAAATTCTGCTTTAGCAAGTGTTCAATAAACGTGTTGCTGCAGTCAAGATTAAATACAAACCAATTTCGATGAGGACATCCAAATAGAGGAGGTGTACTTGGTAAACCAACGTACGCTACTCGCGCTCGTGCATACGTGGCTAAAAACATTGCCTTCAGGGGCTCAAAATTGACTACACCAACTTGGTCATAAAGTAACTGTTAGAGTACAAAATTAAGTGATAATTTCAATTAGCAACATTTATCTAACTTAAAATACTTCCATTACGATACTATGTCAACCATTATAGTAAAGAAGTATTAAATAATTACCCGACTAGCACTTTCAAATGATCCTGCAATTACGTGATCATGGGCTAAACTGGAATTGTTACACCAAACTTGAAGCTGGCTGACTCCTTTCGTAGGCGGTACAAAGTAGCCTTCTTCGGCACTAGTGGGCTCTACTACTTCCTAATTTTTGATAATAAAATCCATTATATATTTCTGGTAAATGAGGATTGTACTACATATGTAAGGTTACAGTAACTTTATTTAAATACAAACCAAATCAGGAGGTAATTCAAGATCTTCATCTCCAATATCCCAGCCACCTTCTTCATCATCTTCACCGTCACCGGCAATTTCATCTTCATCAACAAATTCGTTCTTACCTCCTGTAGTGAAAAAATACTTAGTTAACTTATAGAAATATAGTACAAATAAATGAGCAAAAGTAATCTTCAATAATACACAAAAACGTCATATAACCAAAAGTGCCATAACCATTACCTTCATCAAGATCCAAATCAGCATCTTCACCCCAGCCTCCTGTATCACCTATTGCTTCCGCATCTTCAACAACTGCAGCCATTGAACCACCACCGCCACTAGCTTTAGTATCAAAGAAACTTTTTCTTGTCGTCAATAAAGGCCAATTGCCTTCACATGGCATCACTGGCACAGGTGGACGAAGAAGCTTTGCATCTTCAAGCATGCTAGGAACCTATCAATTTAAATAGATTAAAATAAGTGATTTACAATAGACTATCCTCATTCATAGTATAATATGAAATAATTTTACCGTATCGCCATTTTGAAAGTTACTTTTTAAAGTATTACTTTCTTCTTCAAGGTTGTGAGTGGCTGCGGTCAGGTATGCAAGATGTTCTATAGTTTAAAGAACAAGAAATACCAAAATTAGCTTTATTCAGAGTATTATTTGCAAATTTTTTATTGATGTTTCCTTATAATACTTACTTTGGCCTAATGCATTTAAAATTTTTACACGTTCAAGTGCATCTCCAAGATACAAAGCAATTTGGTATTGCCCACTGAAATCCTTGCGTATTTCAGCTATGAAATTAATCGCATGGTTACAATGAAATCAGACAATTTTGAAACACTGAGAAAGTAATATAATAATATAAGCAAGAAAGCTGTGTAATAAGACAAACTACATTACCAATTTTCATCATTTTCTGTAATTTTTGCAAATTTCCAGTAATCAAGTACAAAAATGCCAAACGATCAAAATTCTTTGTCCTCTGGTATGCCATTTCCACAACCTTCACAGTATCGAACATAGTATGACAAAACAGTTTCAACTACTTTTTGTTCTAGTTAATAAAATTTTACCTGATGATTTCCTTGTTGCAGGGCAACAGCACTCAATTTTTCCCAACATAAATTATCATTTAAGTTACGTGCAGCATCGAGGGCAATCTATTATAATAACCATGCTTTTAGTAATAAGTAAAATAATAGTTATAGTAGCGTTCTAACCTCAATATTTCCGCATTCCAAAGCAAGGCCAAATCGAGTACGATCATCTTTCACGAAATGTAGAGCAACCTGCAAAGCAATTACTCATTCAAGCAACGATTACAAATTAAGCAAGAATTTTTTATTTCATACCTCGGGATAACCTTTCTTCTGCAAGTAAGAAATTATGGACTGACCAATAAGGTTAGAATTTCGAACCATGTATAGAACCTACACACCAATTCGTTTAAATGAGGTCATCATATTTGGACGCAATTAGTAGATGGTTATTTATGTAAAATATTCGACGTACCTGGTCATAACTGCGAGTAACTAAAGCTAGTTTGAATTTGTACTCAGTGTTATTGATTGGTAGAATCTTGATCTTGCAAGATCGATCCAAACAATATACGTTAGATCCCTGCAAATTATAAACAGTAAAATATTAATTGTTTCATAAATACTTTATAAACTAATACAGGTGTAAAATTACTTACACGAACTAGAGTGATATACAGAGGCAAATCAATGGTACGAATGATGCCAGAGTCTCTATAATTATTAATACATCGAGGAATTTATCTATATCTCAGGAATATAACGCAGTGAAATAATTCATTATAGCTTGCGTCTATATCACCAACCCATTTCGGAGACAATACTTGATGTGATTGTTTGTTGAGTAAATAAAGACATTATCATCCCAAGCGCCACTTTTGACTCGAATATTTTCATGAACAGTACATATGGATTCCAATTTGCGATTGCAGATATTGATAACTATTTACAAAAATATTATCACAAAATATTATTCAAAATATGGAAGGGTGTCATCAGATACAATAATGATCTGGATAGTGTCTTAACCCAAATACTTACCATGTTTTCCAAGCAGAGCAACATGTGTTGTATCTGGTGACCAACATGCATACTTGAATTTCGGAACTCTGACTTTATTCATAACTCTGCATTGAACAAATTGATCGAACAGTCAGAATGTTATTAATTGCAGTGCCTACATTATAGAAAAGGTGCTCATGCTAACCGTTTTTGTTGAACATCGTATAACGAAACGTTATCACCATCACGAAGCAATAAATTGCCTGTTCCCGCAAAGAAGATCATGTCACAGGCTGGTGGAGAAATTTTCTTAGAAATTTCGTTCTTTAAATTCTTTATAAGGATCTACAATATCAATTATAATTATTAGTTGAAATCATCGCACAGGATGAAACCAGAAGTAAAGCCTGATTCGAACCGTATGTGTCTTGTCTAGAACAGCGAATCTATTTCTTGCTAACCATACTGCTGACAATCCATTCGATGATCGACTGTTTCCGACTAGTAATACGTAATAGCATAACAGTTAATAAATTGGCAATAAAGGTATGTATCAAAAATCTACATGTGTTCAAAAGTAACTTCTACCTTCTGGATTACTGCTGTTTTCAACCGATTTCGGTAAAGTGTAAAGATCGTAATAACAGCTTTCTTGATTAGGTAACGTCTGCAAATACAAGCAAATGTAGACTCAATCTATTCGATGTATAAAAATGTATATTCGAAATTATTGTTAAAATAGCTACCGTGCAGGCGATTATTGCATTTTCAGCCTGATTATAATGAAGATTACTAATATATGATCTATTCTGGCTGGGCCTATGAGGCAAATTTACGAGAATGAGTAGAATTATTTTAGCAAATGAAAATAATAAATAAATGGCTTTTAGATATATCCTACTTTTTCATTTGCATGATTGGAACATCTTTCTTACTACCAAATTCATATGTACGTAAATAGCGATCCTATAGACCATAACATAGCGGATACATCGTCAATAAGTTAATTAAATCATGCGGTTGGCCATAATAAATGATACAACTTGCATTTCATCAACTATGGTGAAAGATTATTTGCCAACCTTTACGTAATACAGCATATTTCCATGAACAACATAAGGGGGTCTCTCTCTTTCTAGCTTAAAGACTATCAATCCACCGTCATGACCAGCCGCAAACAAATTGAGAGAAGGGTGAGATGTTACAACCCAGAATCTATCAGTCTCCCGGCGGAAAGTTTGGATACCAATTCTGCCAATCGATAGTAATAAATAGTTTGTCTTAGATGATAGATTATGTTTTTGCAATTAGGTTTAATATTAGTTCAACAAATACCTCTTTGACATATCCCATACACGTATACTTTTATCTTCAGAATTACCTAGCAATACACAGTAAGCGAGAATAATGTTGGATCAGATTCTGTATTCTATTTATTGCACTGTACTCTATTATTGTATTCGACTTACTAATGATAAGATCTTGTCTAGGGTGGAAAAGTACACAAGAAACATTATTATAATGGCCTCGACAGGTATCTACTTCCCAAGCTTTACTGTCTGTAATAATCATTAGTCAAATTATTGACTACCATTAGTACATTTTAAAGTCAGAATAATCTAAATAAAATCATTCTTAGCAGTTTGAATGGTTTTACGTCGAATTTAATATAACAAAATCCGTAAGAACAATTTTTATGACAACATAAATATACCATTCATTCTCCATATCTTCACTTGGCGATCATCAGCTCCAGATACAATCAAGGGCATACTATGATGGAAATTAGCCCAATTCACTCCTCTATCATGACCCTATTCCAACCATGTATTTCAAATGTTAGATATACAAAATCAGTCAACAGAAACCAACGTTATAACATACCTCTAGCACATGTTTTACAACAGCATCCTGTACACCAAACAAGTCCGTTGAGCCAGGGCCTCTGTTTCGATCATCAAAGCCACCAGCACCAGGAGCAACAGTTTTTTTCCTTAATCCTATCCAAAATATTAAGCAAGAAATAAGAAAACTTTGTAAGCGGTAATAGAATGAATAGATGCTCACCTGTAATGTCCCATACGCGGACAGTTTGATCTAACGATGCAGAGACAATTAAATCTTCGGTTGGGTGAAAATTTGCGCACATGACATAATGATTGTGTCCAGTCAACACGCTAGAAATGACATCAATTACGTTATTCCATAAGTTACTATAAAGGTTAGTCAGTTAACGTATCACTTTGACTTACGAAACACAAGACCGCGATTGCCAATTCCATATCCTGATCGTTTGATCATCAGATGAACTAACTATCCAAGGGTATTCCTAAAATACCACGTTTAAAATAAGATTAACTTTGATATATTTTTCGTATTTGAATAGGTTAAAAGCATTGAATCTAACGTTATGAAAGAATGTTGTTCTGATGTAGTCCAAATGTCCAAGGAGAGTAAAAAGGCACTTTTTGGACTTGTAATTCCACACCTTAAGAAAGCAATGGATACATAATCGAGGAAGGCATTAGTTGTTAGCTACTTCTCTTTTAACGAATACACAATGATGTGACTTTGCTTGCTTTGTTTAATCGATACGAAAACTGAACTAATGAGGTCGGTGTTAAAATGTTGTCAGTTAGGAAAATGTCCAATCCTACCTTAATTTTATAATCGTCCCCGCCTGATACAAATAAAGGTTGTTGAGAGTGAAAGTCGACACCACGTACAGGGCCTATAGAATAATTCAATGTAAATGTTTCAACAAATGTTATTGATTTAATTTATTAGTGCCTAATAGTCTGTATGGATTATCTACAATCAGATATTTATGTAGAGGCATATGAAAAATGATTTAAAGACAGCGAGTATAATTTGTTGCAAAGTCGGAAATCATCAGACTGAATTTTGCGTTAGTAAAGTCCTAGCATCGAGTCAACTCACCATCATGTTCATCATATTTGTCAATTAAAGTGCACATTCTGTAATCCCATAATTGGATTAATCCGCTATGCAAGCTTGCCAAGACCCATGGCCTCATGGGGTGAAAGGATATACCTAAAATTGAAGAGGAGAGATTAGTGATTGTCATTATTGTGATTAGAAATGCTTGCATCTTGCATCACTAGGCTACAGTTACGTCAGTTCATTTCGTTTATGAATGGTAGAGAGTACAGACAGTCCAAAGACACGATGAGTGACTAGGAAAAAATTGGAATTTGTCATGCTAGCAGTTATCCACGTAGAATAATGCTTTCCATTAATGCATTACAACACGTTCTAAGAAAACACAGTTTGATAGACCTATGTAGGCCCTGTGAATAACGTCCCATGCAATGATCAACGAGAACGTAGGCATGCTATTGCATTTCTCAAGCCGATTGAATGATTCATTTTAGAATATTTTGAACTAAAGTAACTCATTGTTATTGCAAGAGTGACGGTAATAGCAACTAACTGAAGTGATTTATTCCAGTTTAAAAATGATCATGGCGAAGGTAAGAAGTGATTATCATTGATAGTTAGCAATGATCGCAACACTTGTCTTGTATGTCAATCAAGTTGTAGTTACAGTGAAGGTCACTGTAACCCACTTTGATAAAATGTTGATTCCACTATCGGAGAAGCATATTGTACACCACAACAGCAAGTTTATTGATCAACTTCTAGACTACGTCGTTGTTGATAAAGTCTCATTTTTCATTTAGTGTCGCTATCCATTATACACACAGTGTAACGCGTTATCCGCAAGCAGATCTACCATGGTGTTGTCGCATAAGTTACGAGTACAAGTCATCCATTTGCAGTTGCAACCAAGTCGACATGGTCAGTATTGGGTTCCAGTGTAACGATGGCTTAGCCGTAATCAATGCATTTTTATGACGTAAAAAATGGGAAGATTGGAAGATGATCGTTAGTGAAAATGACTATATTCCAATCTATCTATTTGTAGATAGATACTGCATGACTTGTTGTACGTTAACAGTGGGAGAAATGGTCGTGCCTGAAGAAGAAGAATCCAATGTTGCAAGCCACAGAGATGCAAACTGATTGGGAATGGAGTCCGTTTTTCCATTCGATCAGTCAGTCTAGAGTACACTATGAAAGTTTCATTGTTTCCTACCAGTTGAACTAGGAAGAGATGATTTTTTTTCCTTACCTTTGACCCTGGCCGACTTGGTTTCAAATTTAATCAGCATCAATGACTAACTAATCTTGAGTGGAGAAATAGAATATTCACAGCAGTGGATAAAAATGGACAGCGTTGAAAAGTGCTAACAACGTGCCACACATGCAAATGGAAGCAATCAAAATGGCTGCTAGAGCGACCAAGCAAGTTCGTGGCAGGAGTAACTACGCTTGCGCATCACTTTTTCTTTTTTTGCCGTCGCAGACCGTGTGACGACGCAACGGACATCTGCAGGCAGGCACGCGAGTCAAGTTGTGGACTCTACACTAGAGTCTACAGTCTCTACAGTACAGTACTGTACTGTACAGTACAGTAAGTATTTTTTTATCTGATGTACAGTACAGTACTGTACAGTACTGTACTGTACAGTACAGTGTACAGTAGTACAGTAGAGTCAAAAGTACTGTACTGTGGACTAGGCCATAGACTAGGAAAGATATACCCATTTTTCTAGTATTGTCGTCCATGTCTCTCTACACCAGTTTACGCTTTGCAATCTGTAACATGCGATGTACAGTACTGAAATACTAGTCTACTGTATATGACATCAAGCCATTGTCGCGGTCGTGCTTGTCATTATGCTTGATCATGCTACAGGCGGACAGACGTTGTACATTACATTTAACATTTAATAAATGTACACTTGTACAGTACAATGTACAGTACCCTATACTCAGTGTAATACTGTAATAAGACATCAACCTACAGTACATACACTCCTACAGTACTGTATGTACAGTACTGTATTGTCACGGTCGTGTTTGTCATTATGGTACTGTACATCATGGTACAGGCGGACAGACATACTCGCTCCTGAGGCAGATATACGAATACTGTACTGTACTGTACAGTTACCCTCTGATTTCATGTGCACTGTACTGTACTGTACCGTACAGTACAGTACTGCACACACTCACTACTCAGTGTCCTGTACTGTAGACTGTAGACTGTACATACTGTACACTGTACTGTACAGTAATAGGACATCAGGCTATTGTCGCGGTTGTGCTTTGTCATTCTGGGTTAACTATGGTACAGGCGGACAGACGTACTCTGTCATGAGCCAGATGGACCAATACTGTACAGTACTGTACAGTCTACAGTCTACAGTCTACAGTACCGTCTGATTTCCTGTGCGCTTTTCTTTTGACATCATCAAGACCTCTCGATTCGGTTAGCTATGGTACAGGCGGACAGACGTACTCTGTCATGAGCCAGATGGACCAATAGTGTACAGTGTACAGTCTACAGTCTACAGTACAGTACCGTCTGATTTCCTGTGCATTTTCTTTTGACATCATCAAGACCACTCGATTCGGTTAACTATGGTATGGCTGGACAGACGTACTCTGTCATGAGCCAGATGGACCAATATAGTACTGTACAGTACACTGTACAGTACAGTACTATACTGTACAGTCTACAGTCTACAGTCTACAGTACCGTCTGATTTCCTGTGCGCTTTCTTTTGACATCATCAAGACCTCTCGATTCGGTTAGCTATGGTACAGGCGGACAGACGTACTCTGTCATGAGCCAGATGGACCAATAGTGTACACTGTACAGTACAGTCTACAGTCTACAGTACCTTCTGATTTCCTGTGCGCTTTCTGAGTACAGTACTTAGTACTGTACTCTTTCAAACCCTGGTAAAATCAATCAACCATCACTTTGATTAGGGTCCGGACCAGACCAGATCATCAAGACTTGTCGTCGGATTCGGTCTTGCTACCAAAACCATGCCTTACACTGTATAGTGTAGTACGGGACGGTACACAGAATGATCGTTGATAGAGCAAAGTGAAGCCCAATCACTTGTCAACTAAAATCCAGCAAGCAGACAAAGTTACGGCCTGATGTGCCATTCATTTTGAATGGCATCATCGGGGCGGTATTACTTTTACCATAATAACTGCGGTAGTTCAGCACCATAGTCAATCATGTTCAGATTTTACCCTGTACTCCAGTAGTATAGGAAAAAAATAAAAATGTTGCAGTCATCATCGATTTGGCGCCAAATTCTATGGTATGACTTGGTACTGTAGCAAGTTCGTAAGCACAAAGTGTCCGAGAAATTGTTCCTGATAGAAACGAAAGCAAAATAATAAAAAAATGCACAGAAATTTGAACACATTACCAATCAAACGATAGTAGATGAGTCCATTTACACGAAACTGCCATTATAATGGACGTACGATGTCTCTATCTTTCACAAATTGCGTTTAAAGTCAAATCGTTCTGCTCCAAATTCGTCGACCTAGCAATACCTCAAAATCTCTATACTGCAGTATAATACTACTCTCGATGCACGATACACTGCACTACCGTTGCACTTACAACGCCCAGCACGAAGGAAAAACTGCACCTGCGCAATAGCAGTCGATGCCTTTAATTGATTGAAGCGAGGGAATATTATTATTATTATTCATTATTAATTAAAAATATTTCTTACTGATTATTCAACTTGGCTCAATGAAAGCTTAAAACCATCCACAAGATTAACAAATTCTTCATCGATGAAACATAGAGATGATTAGAAACTATGGCTTTTACTAGCCAAGATCCAACGATCAATCACAACGACCAAAAGAAGCCATTACTAATATGTGAATGGTGTGATTGCACTTACACAGTAAAAGAGGATAAAAGCTCCTTTCTACGTCATGTCTATCAGCATATTGAGGACCTGGTGGAAATTTCCAACGGCCATTTCAACGAGAATCCACGAGAGTTTCAATGTCTTTGGCGAGATTGTACTTTAGATGTATTTATGAATGGAAGAGAATTGGCCAAGCATGTTATGTTTCATGCTTATCATGCTTACTTGAAAGCCTTAGGTGCTGCGATGCGTTCAACGAAACAATTACCGCCTTGTACTTTAAGCGACGAAAGGTAAAAATGAATGCCGTCATTGGACACACTTCTATTCATCATTCACTTCTACTAGTTAAAGTTGTAATAAATTGGCTTACAAAAGAGGACCAATATCAACCTCATTTCACTTTACGGCCTATCCTTTAAATTCCCTAACACTACAATAATATTTCATTCGACGATGAGACACTGTCAATACATCCCATCTACTTGCACTCGTTTGCGCTCTCGATTAGTATTTAGTAATAATCTAGTATCGATTACAATAATAAATTGCATTAAGAATGAGATGTAACCCAGATACAACGACTAGCTAATCTCGCATATGTAGGTTATGTTAATAAACTGTAAGATAGCCTGTTATCAACTGGTGCCAAGACGATATTAATGTCATTCCTTTTACTTATTGTCATTTTATAAATATTTTGAAAAGGCTGTATATCAGCTGCAAGTTGACTAATGCTTTGAAATATGCTACTTTATAGCCGAAATCTAATCGATGCAGACGAGGAATTAGTATGCTGCTGGGAAGATTGTCGTATGCAATTTCATTCGCCTGATCAGTTCTATCGTCATATGGATGCTCATGGTGATAACGATAGTGCTGATGGAGATAGTTTTGTCTGTCGATGGTTAGGTACAGCAAACATAAAGTTGTTCTAATTTGAGGGCATTAGAAATGAATCGACTAGTCTACTTTCTTTTGCATTCAGTCTTAAGCTTAATAGACTTGCAGTATTTTGATCAACTGAAAGGTAATCTTGTTAAATTAGTGACTAATTTTGTTACTATGATATTACCGTTAGGATGTTCTGCAAAATTTAAAAGCAGGTATCGAATTAAAGAACATTGCAGAGTACATACTGGCCAAAAAGTGATTGCATGCAACACTTGCGGAGGATTATTTGCTAGCAATACTAAATTTATAGATCATCTGAATAGGCAATCAGAAGGTAAGATATGAAATTAATCTATTACAAAAGTAAGATGCATCAATTTTATGTACTGTACTATACTGTACTTTGAATACCATCCATGATACCTGACTCACGTAATATGACGATTATCTTTCTAAAGATGCTAATTTAAGGTGCCTCTGCTGCAACAAACAATTTGCAACCAAACGACTATTAAGGAATCATGAAAGAGGACATGGTAAAATTTTTGCATACTTTTACTTTAATTTACTTGCATTCCGTTTATTATGCTGCACTAATAAAAGTTCTAAAGCTTACTCGTCTATAAATTATCCATGTAATGTGATAATGTAAAAATTTTGAACCCTTATGATGTTATATAATATAATATTGCGACTATAACAATGTGGCTGTTGCAATCATAGAATTACTTTCATCAATCGTACCATGTAATATAAAATAGCAGACATTGACGCCCATTTCATCGTTTAGTGAACAACAGTAAATGCACTATGTGCGATATGACGTTTCCATCACCATCAGGTCTTAAAAGACATATCTTATACCGACATACCGAGCAAAGACCTTACCAGTGTGCTTTGTGTCATATAAAGTAAGATTTACTTTTGGAATAATAACGAATTATTTTGTAATTAACAGTAAGCATGGAAATAAAATTGATTGTATTGGCTTGTTTTATTGCCGCAGGTTCAAATCCGAGCACGACTTAAATAGACACATTAAAATTCACGATGATCAAGTCTTACTTTGTCCTAAAGAAGGCTGTGATTATACAAGTAAATTCTTGCAAAGTATTAAAGCTCACTATGCGAAAGAGCACGAGGTATGTCTACATTTGCGCTCAAATGCGCTATCCTTTTATACTTAACACGTTTCTGCAACTATTTCCAAGTTACCAATTTGTATTGATATAGGCTGAAATGGCTTCTGCTCGATACGCTTGCCATATTTGCGGTTGTCGTTACACTCGAGGATATTCACTTACAAGTCACTTAAAAAAGAAACATCACTTTGAATGGCCTGGTAGCTTAAGCAGATTAATGTCAGTATAATGTTAGCATTAAACAATTGAACTTTTGTTTTGTTTTCTATCATTTTATCGATAGCCACAACGGCTCTTATGGCCATGCCTAACTGCGTCTTATACCTTGTAGTTATAGCCAATGCGATGACGGAATGTACAGATTGCAAACTGTCCGGTATGAAAGTGTTGAATTACAAGTGGATCAAAATAAGGAAAATCATCAGTCCGTAATTAAAAATCTTCCTTAGTTTCATAGATGTCTATACTTGACTTCTGTTTTATGTTTTGTTTACATTCTCTACGTTGTCATCGACTTGTACTCTACCTAATTATTATTATTGCTTTTTAAATAATATTTAAATAATATGGTAATGAAGACTTGTTAACATTAACTTCTGCCAGTACGTTCTTAAGCGTACGGTATCGTGCTAGACATAATTGCAAAATACTGGTTTCTTTATCAATGTAAACCGCATCTAACTTATAACAATAATTATTACACGACGATATTTAATATCCTACCACAAGCGGACATTCGCGGTTGATGATTTTCTAGTAATTGAAATTGTAAATAATATATGTACATTGTACAATTGACTTAAAAGAAACTTGATTTAACAATGACTATACCTAAATACTATATTTTTGACTTTTATGCCGTCATTTAAAATACGATAAATAGTACGACTCGAACGTCACTTATCGCCGACTTATTTTTGTTGACGTATAATGTTACGAATGGTTCTACTATGGTTCAACGTACAAAAGCCGGTATACATTTTATTTTCAATAATTAAAATGTTATATTGAAACTTCTTTAATAAATACAATCTGCAAATCGCGTAAGAAAGATTTTGAAAGGTATAATATAGTTCTAAGTACGCCAGCAAATATTAACTATGAACATACAGTAACAAAAGTGAGTAGTTAAAAGGGATAAAACCAAATAGTGACAATAACATCGCTTAGATTAGGCTTATGGACGCAAATCACAATACGAAAAGAAAATTAACGATGTTTGCCATGCTTTTTCTTTGCTTTGACATTTTCTTCGCTTGTAGAAGATTGCTGCCGGCTATTATACGCTTCAATAAGAGACTTCACATATTGAGAAACCTGTCGCACAAGAACAGTGATTAAAATGAAGCCAAATAAATGAAATTGATCTAAAAGAATCTAAAATGCAAAAATTGATAGACATGTGCTTTATGGCTTGATAAAATACTTACCTTTGTAAAGTTAAAAGCAATCGCAATAACTAAAATAAACGGGATAATTAAAAATGAACCTTGGGATGGCTCAGGATCGATCTGTCTTATCTATTATTATATTGCGGAATATAAACGATAATTATAATTAGCAAATAATATGTGTTATAATTATACGTAATGTATCAATATACGCGTACAAGAGACATTTGCATAGATACAGTAGATAAATGCCAATATTAATTTAGGGTTATACATACCGCAGCTGAGAAATTAAAATGAAAATGTCGACGATGTTGAGTTGCGGTGAAGGAATCAGTTTCCAAGGTTTTGTACGAATAGGTAACTAGAGATAGCATGGATTGGATACGCAAAATGTAGCTCTGCAAAGGATTATTGTAAGCGTATTAGAATCTTTACACATTTTAAAGCAAAAGTAGTAATCCTTCATTTACCTTTCCGTCCCTTGGCAATGGCTTAAAATGAAAGTAATGATTATCACCAAGAGCTACTGATTGGACTGGTGAGTCCATATTATTTTCGTTATAGAGGAGAGCCTATATTTATTACAAAAGTACACTTGTATCATGACAGCAAGGACCTAATATGAATCGATAAATTTAGCACAATATTGAACCATTTGGCATTTGAATTGATTGTGCAGTATATAAACACGTAACAACATCCACATGTTGACACATTTTAAACATAATAAGCTTATTCATTTCTTTAATTTCAGTCAAAATCTATGTCGACCTTAATAGTATGCAAATATTTATCTTCCGTAAATACAGTTCCGCTGATTTCCATTTGACCAGAACTTCTGATTGTAATTATATTGACGTCCGTAATATCTTGATCTTCAACCTAAAAAGTAAGCAATCCGCACTAAATATACTTACCAAGTAAAGAAAGTTGAAGTTGCTGAACGATTCAGATATCAAAGTAAAAACCTTTACCTTTTCAATTACACGCTTATCAGGGATAGATCTGCTTATGATATCACTATTTTCCTCAGCAACTTGCACGGAATAAGAGCAATTTGGCTGAAATATTTAATAGTGCATTTAGTAATGCAATCGTAAATGTCCATTTTATTGCATCTAATACTTTAATATTACTTTAAGCCCTCGAATTCTAAATGTTCCATTTATAGTTGTGGTTGCTTCTTCTCGACTATTTTCGCAATTATTAATTCCTATCGCCTTTTGCATAACAAAATAGTAACGTTTCGATTCCATTAATTGAAAAGTTGCAGCTAGCTACACAGAGCCATAGTTACATATAATCTCAGGAAAGTAACTTACTCTTACGACTACGTCTACTTCAGGTTCGCCGTTTAGTGAAGACAGTTTACCATAGCAGCTATAAGCTACACGATATCCTTTAACCTCTACATTGACTGTCATTCCTTCATCTACTGAAATTAATTGCATTGCAGGCTCGAACGAATACTCTTTCAGTAAAGGTCGGAAATAATATTGTGCAGAAGGCTAGCAAAAGAGAAGATTACAGATGTCTTGTATAAATACGTTAATCACAATATTATACAATTAAGGATATTACCAAGTTTAGATACTGAATTTCCCCAGTTTCAGACGTTATATTATTAGATCGAAAGTTTTGGCCACTTAAAGAGAATAGTACACCAGACATTGGTTGTCCATCCTCTGATGCAACCTGATACCGAATTAATAAAGTTAGTAGGATGTCTACGCGATTCATTCTGCGCTGTATTTAGGCCGCAATATCTATACTACACTTTAAGAAAGCAAGCTTACTTTTATTACAATTTCTCCTTGTTTAGAAGCCTTAAAATCTCTTTTATTGTCAAGCGTTGGAGTAAAAACATAACCAGGCTTCGAAGCAGTCTGCGGTGAGTTAACACAAAGTCAATTTAAAAATGTTATAATAGTGTGCTATATTAGTTTGTGTTAAAGGGTCAAGGTAAAAATTCACTAACAACGTCGTAATTTTTATTTCCTGCTAAGGGACCAAACCTAGGACAAAAGTGCTTGCTATTAGAATATCTAATCGAATAATAAAATTAAAAATATAGCTACCTATATTCTCCTTGTTGATTAGTTGTAGTGGTCAACAGTACAACATCCGAACCAGCTTCATGCAACCTGATTTCAACATCATTTACTACAGGTTCAATTTTACCAACAATTATCTCGCCTTTCGAAGCATCAAATGCACCAATCGATATAGGACATTCCTTATCTAAATTTCAAGGAAAGTGAAGAATATGAATACGTTTGGAATTAATTAGCAATAAATTAGTAAATTTAATAAATCCAAAATATACTATGTACTGATATGGCATAACAAATCTCATAAAATTAAAAATGTTGGCATACCTTCATTTAAAGTAAAGTCAATCTTTGATGGATCAAATAGAAGTGTCTCCGAAGACGGTAATACGGATACGCTATCGCCAGGCCTGCAAGTTTAATTAAAAAGCATAACTTATTTATATTCAAGAGAGCGAGAGAGAGAGAACGTATGGAGAAATAACTGTCACGGGTAGCAGGCAAACTAACCTCAAAATAAATTGGAAGTCAAATTTTAACAATTGACCGAGAGGTCTAGCCTCTAACGGCCCTAGAACAATATCTTCTTTTTCTTTATTTGTAAATCTGTTAAAGCAATAAAGGGTATCAATAGTAGTCGATAGATCGCTGAAAGGAACTACCCTTCACGACTCAAGGTAACATTTGTTAAATGAGTTTCATCTGAAATATTAAACTTTACTTTATTTTTATCATGATATCTTTGGCATCTGCGAATGAAATTACCGAACCAATTACTCTATAATCAACTGCAGTCATACTCAAAGTTGAGGTCGAAGTCCTGAAAATATAATTTTAGATTTGATGAAACAGTGGTACATTTAATTGCAAGACTAACGAGTTTTAGAATATAGCTAAGTTGTTTAGGTACTTAGTATTATTTATTCATTTTCACTTACGTATCATACGAATATTCATTTTGCTGGAAGATATAACAACTTGCTGGTGATATCTCATATCGTCCTATATATTTATTACCAAACTATTTTATAAAACGTTCCATCACTTAACGAAAATAGAAGTGAACATTCAACGTACCGGCATTTGGTAAGCACATCCTATTCAAGCCTTTGTTAAATTTGCATTCAGTCTTCTCTTTATCGCCCTCCGAAGAATAATACTGTAATATGACAGGAAATACAGGCATAAAAAAGTTTCTCTGGCGATCATTACAGTAACCTCAGGCAACAAACTTTCTACCCTACCGCGTAAAACGAATGCGATGTAACAGCACTAAGAACAAAGCCATTCTGTTCAAATTGTATACCATCGATATCATTATCCAGTACGGTGAAAGGTAGCTCCTCTGATTTCCAGCATACGTCTTTCCGTGTAACGGCAGCTAACAGATTTAATCGTGTTGTAAACAGTTAATCAATAATGAAAATTACAAAGAAAATGTACAACTACTACAAAGAAAGCTAAAATTACCATTGTATTTTCCAGGTAAAACGTCTTCAAATATGAATTGAGCAACCAAGTTATCACCAGTTAATTTCTAAAGTAAACAAGTAATGACGATCACATGCAAGGACTTTGTAAGAATCAGCCGGGCTGACATTTGGTACGCAATGTAAACAATATTATTTAGACAGGCTAACTAACCGCAACAGCTTGGTGAACATGTCCTGATCGTTCTGTATCCCGTAAATATATGGTAGTGTCTTTATTACCATGAAATCCCTCTACAGTAAAAAACAATAAGCTCGTAAATCCTAATCTACGCCTGTCAGGCAATTCTATATTAATTACCACTGTAGATTATATGTACGTACCTAAGAATTTAACCTTGCCGCTAACGGTAGTCTTAAATTGGCCAAATTTAACACCAAAAACTGGCTCGTCTTTGACTGTCACCTGCTTACTCGGTGGCGTAAACATGACACCTTTGCTTTTATCATCATCATCCGGTACAGCCTTGGAATGAAAGCATATATCATGAAACCAAGAATGATAAAAACTGCATCATAATTCTACAAAAGGATGTACTGGTTTTCCATCAATCTATTACAATAAAACTATCATGCATACCTTTACGATATATTCGCCGGGAGAAACTTGGAAGCAAAATGAACCATTTTCATTGGATAAAATTGTAACCTCAGTGCTTTTACTTCCAACAGGAGACATATTCACTTTTCGTTTTTTACTCTAACCCAGACGTATGCAAAATCCAAGAAAATTATTGAGATAGGATTATTTTAAATTTTCATTCCGAGTGTATTTGTGCAATGGTGCTTTCTGAGCAATCAATAATCATTATACCTTCATAACCTCGTTAGGTAAATCAGTAATTTCGATTAATCCACATAAATTGTATCTAGGGAAAAATAAATATATATGAAATGAACTGCTTTAATAAAGTATAACGCAGATTATCATACCCAAAAATTTGTACAAAATGTTTGAATCAAGGGTCACCTTGTTGCTACGATATCTTCTAGGGCAGGTGTACTAGGAGTTATTTTCGTCACAAAGGGTTCAAAAAAATAATAAGGCTTACTAACCTGTAAATGAAGCGAATAAAAACAATAGAAATATAAGCATGTAATGCAATCTTAAAGAAATAAAGGGATATTTTGCTAATAGAATAATTTATTAATTTGTATCTTCTACCGTAATCGTGTAAGTCCCACTGGTTACATTGACAAGCAAGTATTTCCCATCTTTACCAGTAGAAGTAACAGGTTTCCCATTGATTTGAATAGAAGCATCAACTATACCTTTTCCCTACATGGCACATGCAGTCGTTAACGTTAATATTAACATATCAATCAATGTTTATTAGATAGCGACCATTAATCGCAACGTTACCTCTCGATAAGCTAGCACGCGACCACCAATAGTAAAACCGTGCACTTGAAAATTTGGCTTTACAATAAGAATAGATGAAAATCAATATGATATACACGCAACCTCCATAAATGTAACTACTCCTACCTGAATTTTAACACTACTACTCGCAACGGTTACGGGTACTTGAGCAGGTACAACATCAAATACGATTTCTTCACTTCGGTAATAAGGAACCTAGCAATTGAAAATGTACTGCATAAGTTTTGGATACAGATTTTACTGACTGTCACAAATGCTTACCAAAATATACTGTCCAGGTGGAAGGGAAGGAAAATTAACCAACCCTTGCTGATCCGAAATCCGATAACAAAGAGGAGATAATCCATTAATTTGACCTGGGGTAGCCAGATTTTTTTCAATTGAATCACATTCAGTCACTTTTCCCTATAAAAGAGATCATAATGTTTGTAAGATGGGGTGAAAATTAAAGACTCCGTTTGGTACACTGAGTAGAAGTTAATTTTATGATCGTATATACTTTTGAATCGACTTGATACAGGAAAAATCGAACACCTTGGATAGGCAATCCATCGCTCATTACGTCAGCCTAAGTCGTAGTATATTACAAAGTAACCTTTTATTTCTAACTAGAAATGGTGCCAGACTGATGCACACTAACATGTGCCATTAATGGAAAGTGAATGGTAGATGCTTTCAATAACCACGACTGGTACTTACCTGAACGTCATATCCCGAGATAATCATATCTTCGGTTACACTGGTGCTTCCAATTTTGGCATCAATGGTCGTTTGCGACTTTAAATACGAGAAATAACAACTCTTTTAATACATGTACTTTTAACCACCAATATTATTCAATATTATGAACATATGAAGATTGAAACTAACTTTAGAAAATGTCCATTTATCATGGCTAGTCTTAATTTCATAATGACCAGGCTTGACTTGATGAAACACATATCTGTTAAAAATAAGCTAGAAGTTAAGGATAATTTAAACACTGATCGAGTAGTCAGCTTCAAAGCAATATAACAAAGTAGGTACATGAAGCCAAAGTATGCAAAAAGTTTTTATAACGTTTAAACTAAGAAAGACAAGAAAACTCCATGTTCACCTTCCGCCATCGGTAGATTTTGTTGTTTGAACAACGGTATCTATTGAATGAAAACAGTAACTATAAATCCAAAATGATAGATAATATAGTTACAGAGCTAAGGAATGTCTTACCGCCTTGACTTAGGGTCACAGCGACACCAGCTGGACCATCCATGAGACCTTCACTAAGAATCTATAAAAAGATTTAAGGTAAATTAGGAAGGGTTCTTGTTCCTCATTTTCATTGATAATAGTGTGGCAAGAATAAAGTACAAGGTATCAAATCACTACTGAAGCTATTTCGAGTATGTAAATGGACGTACCCTGCCAGTTATCGTAATGCCCTTGAACGTAAAATTGATATCACGATTATTGCTACAAGGATCTGTCTTCCCGTCTATGTTTAATTTGATTTCGGTTGGATCTACAATTTCAATAAGGATAAAGGACAAAAAAATACTGTTTAACGATAGCTAATAATGCGGTAAAGCATATAGATAAGGCGATAATCCAGTTGTAAAGCGTAATATTCAATAACCATCAAACGAAATCGGTAGTATCAAGTCACTAATAAGAAGTTGTAAGGAAAGTTCTTGAATTGATAGAAAAAATCGAGAGTTACAGGCACTTGTATAACGTATAATATTGCTTTAAAGTCGTGATGCTAATCCTATTTGTCACGCATATACTAAATTGTCATAATATATTAGTAAATTCAGCAATTACTCAATAATGTGATAATTATCGAAGATATCTTTAACGCAAAAAGCCATGACTTATTTTAAATGTAATACATAAAAGTCTCTGACTGATAATTGATCCGATTGATATGAAGATAATTACCAAAATCCCAATTTTGTGGTGGAGAGACCTTCAAGGTAAATTCTCCCTAAAAAGAAGAAGCAATTCGCTGTAAATGCCACAATAACAGAAGCTTACTCATTATTATTGTCAACGTAATACTACCGGTATGTGAAATAGCGAGTGCTATTAGCTAAACACATACGCGTACGACTAGAATTTCAGAGCTTTACACTACTGTGAACAATTTACCTTATCATAGATAGGTATCATAAAATAGCCGCTAGTAGGAGCACAAGCAATTTCATCTTTAACACTACCATATTTGGTGATCAACTGGACCTATGAAAACGAATAGAAACTTGAATTGTTATGATAGATTTACAAGTGGTTGCAAACCTCAACCAGATAATACTTATTGCATTTATTGAACATAGATAGCAAACAAGTCTAGCAACTATACATTATTCCACGTAAATGTTTTCTTTATAATAGTGCAAAACTGAACTTGAATTATTGTGCAGTTTACTACACGTAATACATAATATACAGAAATTTCATATTTGGAAGTATACTCAGCACTAGTATGAAATAATACATGTTCGCATGTATTATTACGTTCATACATGCATAAGGCTATAATTATAGGTAGCTGGTTCATAAATTAGGAGTTAACTTGCAACATTTATCTAAATTCCATAGCCTTGTAAATCTGCAAGATTCATCATACGACCTTGTGAAATAAGACCGTGTCGATTGAGCTTAAGCTAATTTGTAACAGATAACGAGTGCATGTTAATGCCGCTATAGCCAGCTAGCCAGCATAAAATTCACATGATCTTAAAGGATAGTATCGGAAAATTATAACGTTCAAAACAACATTTCTGTGCTATGGCTAGGTACGACATTTTTCCTCTTGCATTCAAGATAGTCTATTTGCTACAATGGCCAATGAACATTGCAAAACAGTACGTATGCACATCATTATCATTCTTGCCAATCATCATCCCATTTACAGTAGTAGGTTAGATTATAATAACGATAGATTATAGAGGAATTACAGGAAAATTCTAAATTTCAGTTCAAAGCGTGTTTCATTAGTGCTATTTTTACAGTCCTACTCAAATATCATGGACATTCTGTCACCATGATTACGATTACGCGTACTATAGTCAAGTATACGCATCAATCTTAACATAAGAAAGGATTAGAACCATATTCAAGAAACGACAGACAGTCCAATTCAATCATCAGTTTAGTCAATCATAGTCAAGTCATAATTAATATTTTTGTGAACTGAAATGACTTGAATATTCTATTTGAGACTCATTTTGGAGGCATTATGGTGAAGAGATTTAGAATCTGTCGTATTACATCCATCGTGCTGGTGCCATTGTACCTCTAGTATCTGATGCGCGTACCTTAACTTGAGTGTAATCGATATCAATATCCGACTTGACAAAGCCACCACAACCGATGAGAACATCATTTTGGCAAGAAACATAACACAATGTTAGTAATATTAAAGAGAAAGGGTAAACACCAGTCGTTTTCATCTTTTACTGGTGCTTTTCTGCCAATGTGAAAGGTAAGGATTGAGTGCCAGCTTGAGCAAGATCAAAGCCCTTGTGTCCACCTAAGTGCGTACCTTTAGAACATGTTCCACATGATCCGTTTGAATTGCGCTCGGACTGAGGGACTACCGGATCCCTGTCATCCAATCCTCATACTGTACAACCAACACCATGGGGTCGAGGCAGAGACGTTTTGACTACTGTTCACCATATTGTGTATTGGATGGATGGAATCCATTCTCGCGGCTGCGCAAATGAAAGGGTTAAGAAGAAGAATATTTCTACCATTACAAGCCTCTGGTTATCGTATACTGCGTCTGCGCAAACTTTAGGCAGACGTTGAGTACAGTACAGTATAATAGTTATTAAAGGGTGGAGGCTGATCCCTCGCACCACGCCCTGACGTCGAATATACTGTACTGTACTGTATTGAATTATAGTACTAAAGTATACAGTAATTATATATAAATAAAAATAGCAGTACGGATCTTTTCTCATCATCCAGTTGGAGTTATTGGCTTGCATTGGATTGCCTGATCAAATCAAAAAGTCCAATCTAAAATCAGTATTCATCTCTGTCATTAAAGAAGTGAAGATAGACACGTACGGCTACAACTATCCATGGAAGCTCCCAGTGAAGATACCAAAGGGCCTGTGCCAACGGATAATGATAATTATAATCCTCCTCCTCCTCCTCTGCCTATTACTCAACAACCGCTTGGCTACAATCCAGTCAATCCACCTTATCCAGCTAATCCATCGATGGCGAACCCACCCTACAATCCAGCCAATCCACCGTATCCTGCCAATCCATCGATGGCGAACCCACCCTTAATGATGAATAATCCAGCGCCATTGCAAATGAATCAAGTAACATTACATCAACCTGGTACTGCTGCCTATAGAGCTACTGAAGTACCAAATTTGGCTTTGATGGGACTACAGCAGCAGCAGCAGCAGATGCAATGGATGATGCCGCCACCACCATCGCCTAGCTGTCCACCAGGCCTAGAATGTTTAACACAGCTTGATCAAATTATTATTATGCAGAGACTCAATATCGTAGAATGTAAGACTTGAGATATCGCATCATCATCATAGCAGTTAGAAACAATGTGTTATAGAATAATAATAATGAACCGATCGTATTAGCAATGCAATACAGTAATATCTTCCAATAGTTCATTCTTCTTATGGATCTGCTTCCACTTAAGCGATCCTTATTCGCTTATATTGTACTAATAACAATTCTTCAATATTAATGCTAATCTTTATTATCTGCGATGTTATCAACAGTAATGAGAGGAATAGATATGGCCAATCGTTATGATGCGAAGAATAAGTTCGGCCAGGAAGTCTTCTTTCTTGCTGAAGGTAAACTACATCGGTTACATGAGCTACATTTAAGCATTGTTCTTGAATAAATAAGACGTCCATTGCTCGTTGGTTGACAAGGTTGAACGATAAACTTATGACATCGATAGTAATCTAGCCGATCAGATAAATATTCACAAATACTACTTTTAATTAAATAATTAAACATAAAACACAACATCAGAGATTTATTTTGCTTTATATTCAAAGACTTTGCTATAAACTTTCCTAACGTTTCACTTATTGTGTTTCTATAAGAAATATTCCGCTAGTTACTGTAAAGCACAAATTTAGAAATTTGATACGCTACGATATTGAAATGTTAGAAAACTTGCGAATAAAAAAGTCTGTCAAGAGCATCTTTTACTGCAGTCTTATTCCAACAACATCGTTATAAAATTGTGAAGGATCCCATACACATACGATCGTATTGTTCGTTATGATAAAAATACTCTATATGATAGTTACTTCTAGGGACAGTCACTAATTGTACTGAATCCTGATGGACTAAACATATCAGTACACTAATTTATCTACAGACTTATCTATAAGAATTTAAATTCGTCTTTACTGGGCTGGTCGCTCTATTAAAATAATAATGATAACATGTTGCATTTAATTTAAAAATAATGCATTATAATGATTACCTTTTAATTATAGTGCCGACTCCATTCAGCTGCAATTGCTGTTCTCGTCTCTTTCACATGAAGATACTTGACGCTAACGATAAAGAAGTTATGCATTACTCCCGACCATATCGCTGTGGACTCTGCTGCTGCTGTTGTTGTTTCACAGACTGCATGGAAGATATGACGATAGAATCACCGACCGGCAATGCAATTGGCTCCATTCGTCAGTAAGGACATAGTTTCTTTGATTTACCACATTATGACCTGATTACTGTCATGAATATGGACCGTACATAATTTCGCTTAGACTGTATAGTTAAATCACTGTTCTACAAATATCCAAGTATGATATTACTCATAAATAATAAAGTTTTAGATATTTATAATAATTCCATGATTGCGATTAGATTATGTAACGGTGTCTTCCTATTGTCGATAGGACTGCAAGAATTGGACCAAAATTTCAAGTTTTGGATACTGAAAAGAATAAAATCTTTAACGTCAATGGTCCATTTGGAGTATGCGCTTGCATGCAAAGAACAAACTATACGTTTGATGTAGGAATTACAAAATTTTAATATTTTTACCATAATATACATTATTAATTAATTAATTATTATATCATGAGATAGATAATTTCAGCTACTTTAATCGAATGCTTTTTCAGGTTGTACATGTCTACAGTATGTTAAACTATCTATCCTTTCAAGACTATCATAAATAAAGTAATATATCCAAGCAGTACATGTTCATCAAGCTACATTACAAATGCTATACTATAATTGAAAGCTAAATATTGTCTGCTAAGAGAGTTTTCGCCTTAATTTACTGTAGTTCTAGCGACATGCTTCGATAAAATTATATTAAAAACTGATCCATTCCTGCAGGTTGTTGATACTGATGGTCAAAACGTGGGTTCAATTGTTAAGGGTTGGTCTGGAATGCGATCTGTAGTTAGCCAAGATCGTTTAGATATCAACTGTAAGTAGCAAAGTTTGCTATTATTAGAATATATATTTGATTAGTGGTAGATATGACATAATTCTATAATTAGTAGCCTTTAGCTAATCATACAAGTTCTAAGAAAGCTAAATCAAAATTATTGATAAAACCTATTTTACTTGTTATTTAATAATAAATACTGTACAGGCCTATGGTTGTTATTTGATAAAATGTCGATAAAAATTTTATTAAATCGATTACAATCTATTTTTATAGTACATTATTAGCTAGTCGTTATATATAATTTAGAAATAATCTGCAATTACCATTAAAAATATCACATGTTCTAGCTTGTTTACGTTGCTTACTGTAAATATTATTTCGTTTGACACTATTTGGAGCAGTTCCGATGGATCTCGATGTAAAAAACAAAGCACTCATGATGGGAGCTGGCATCTTGATCGTAAGTGTTCAATTAATAGCAGGAGTACAAACTATTCAGCTGTCCGTAATCTTAATATAAATTATTATAATGATATATTATTTTGGATTTTAACAGGACTACATGCTATTTCAGCGAGTAATGGCTAATAATAATCGTCGTTAGTTATAGTCGACTTGATTTAGTATAACATAATTGACTATGCTTAGTGCAATAAATGTAAAAATTATTTTATAATTGCATATAAGCTCGAAACAGGTCATTACTGCACATAGTATACGGTGCATTATATTCTCTTTTAAATTTATTTACCGGTATTACATGAGGTAACTCTAATGTGACGTATTTCATGATGTAATTAGTATAGTTTCACAGATAAATATTGTAAAGTCCATCTGCATTGGTACTCCCCTCTTAACGGAACGCTCTTAGTTGATTAATTAATTCCTAGCGTATAGATGTCTCACGAACGAAAGCTGATATTAAGACATATTCTTTGCCAGCTACGAAATTCTACGATTTAACTAAAATCTTCTTAGTAGCGTAGATTGTATCAGGACATGTAATAGTTAATTAATTGGCAGAGTAAGGAGTACGAATATAAGATCTATGAGTTTGGGTATGAAGCTTAACGTGAAGAGGAATGCTTTAATACAATGTATAAGAGCTTCAAATTACCCAACTTGAACTTTAATAACGGATACACTCTCGACGCTATCAATCATACCTAATTTATAGCACAGTTTGTCATACTTGTGCTCGCACTCATTTTTGGTACTGATTATTTAAGATACCGACGCTGACTGGCTAGTCAGCATGTAGGCATCGAATAAACTGATGTTCGAAATAAAATATAGAATTCAAATTCCTCCAAAGTATTACGTTATAAGCTGGTATCAAAAAGAAACGATAAATTAACAGACAATAGTAGATAGAGCCAATTTAGATAACTACTAAATGATCAACATATGTTTGCCACCTTGCAGGCATTATAGACTTCTAAATATAACAATTGAGTAACTACCTCTACTAATCAATAATTAATCTAGAACGTCTAAAAAATTTCAGGGGCATAAGCACGTCATATAAATATAACTAACAGTATTATAATGAATAACGCCATGGAATGAAATCAACATAAGTCCATAAAGTACCGTACTTAAGATGGCAGAAATGGATTCTATCCCTACCTCACATGAATTATCTTATGGAAGTGAAAATACATTAGAAAATAGTTCTGCCGCTCAATCAACGAAGAATCGTCAAAGGCCACCAAGTTACAATTCCACATTTCCAACAATACGTTCTTCAGAAAATAATGACCATTCGGCGACTGTAGTTCTATCGACTATCATCAATAAGATATCATAATGACTCCCCAAATCAAATTAATGATAATACACCTACACCACAAGAATTTCAAATTGACGGAGAATCATCCACTGCTATTGAAACGAATCAAAACAGTAGAGATATCGATATATCTGCTGATGAACATCGTTCCGAGAATAATTCAGCATTTTCTCAAAGTCAGCCCCAACATGATGGTGGAGTGATAGAGTCTACGATTCAGCAGCGTCCTAATTTTCATCCTGCTGCTCATACTAATCAGTCATTAAGTAGCGAATCAATTCCTCTTGCTATTATTTCAAATCCACAAAGAAATTCAAATATCTCCACCGAAGCTTTGTAGCCCATCAGTACCTCTAGTTCAATACCTACTTCACAACAATTGACAACCTCAGATATTTAGCAACCAATTTATATTACTCAACCTACTATTCTTCAGAAGCCATTAAGTTACGACAGTATTCAGTCAATACTAATTCAGCAACAACCAACGTATAGTATGCAGCCAATAATGATTCAGAGTAGAAAAAATTTAAACTCGCCAGCAATCGTTCAAGCCTCTTGAATAGTTCTTCCGCAATCATCATCCATACAAAATTATAGCTCAGAACCTCAGGCCACGATCCTACCACAACAGTCTTATGCACGAGCAATTCCAGTTCAACATCAGCCCAATCTTCAGCCTATCTTAATTTCCCAACCACTAAATACACAACCCGTAGACAGTGTACCGGCTACGCAACTAGGCAGCGCCCAACCTGTAATCATTCAGCAAGGAGCTATTGCTCAATCATTTCTAGTACAGAAACAAAATCGTCCCCTACTAGTCATTCCTCAGTCACCAGGTGTTTCGCAATCAAATCTAAATCAATCCCAATATCATGGTCAGATTGGTCAAGAATCGCAGCAAACTAGTAATTATCTTCAATGTTTGGCAAATCAACCACCACAAGGAGGCAACAATCAACAACTAGTGATGCAACAAGCGGTAGATCCTGAGATATCTCAAACACAAGGAGGTAACAATCAACAGCCAGTGATGCAACGAGCGGTAGATCCTGCGATATCTCAAATAAGCAATCAAAATTATGATAGTACGCAACCCTCTTCGATGCATGAGCCTAGTATCATTAGTCAAGCAAATGCAACCCTACAGCCGCCAAACGATTCTGGATATGCAGGGACTAATACCCAACAGTCAAGTTATCCTTACCCTCCTATTTTAAATCAACAATCAGTCAATGTAAGCGAGCAGATACAACTGCCGAACGAATGGATGCCGTTTCCAGAAACACCCATACATTGTCTTTCAGGTTTCGAGTATTTGGTCTATCTCGATCAAATTTTAATACGCCAACAATTAGGAGAGGTGGGAGGTATGAATTGAAATAACCAGTTGAAATGATATCATCCATGATTTAAATGCATGGCATGTATCTTTCTTTCAATATTAGATACCGCTGATATGTATAACGTTTTAAATAAGCAAGGCCAATTAATATATATTGCTGTGGCAGGTATGAATGATTTTTAAGTCTATGCATTAAATTAATTGCTGAAGCGAATTACCAAGCACATCTATCATCCTTACTTAGAAGCCTGTGCAAATTAATAGTTACAACGGCATAATACTGCAATAGCCTTCCTAAATTGATCAAGATAATAATAATATTCCATGAACCATAACGTTCGAAGATTGATTTATTTTCTTTAGAGAGACAGCCAAGACGTTCTAATAATTCAGGTCGCCCAATTAGTATTACACTTAGAGATGGATCAGAAAAGGAGATAATCCATATAAAAAAAGCTCCTCTCCCACATTGTGTTTGCCGCAAAGATCCAATCCAACAGCAGTTGACTATACAAGTGCCATCAAGTGGAGCTATTGCATACGTTCGAAGGTTAGTACAGTATAATCAACCTATTTTTTTTTTAATTTTGCCGCTATCATCATTTGAAATAAGGCGTAAATGTATTAAAATTCATAAATAAGGTCAAAACATTTACATTTTCAGACAAACACCGTATGCAACGGGAATTTAATGTTGTTCAATTTAATTTATGGTAGAACTGGAATGGGCCCAAGTTATGACGTGCTCGATGGAACGGGAAATAAATTAATCCGTATACGAGGGCCATTAGGAATTTGCTCTTGCATTACGGGCCCAAAACTCTATGATTTTCAGGTAATAATAACAATAACCTTCTCGGTTTAAAGTAATTTTTAACTAATAATCGTTATTGCTAGAAATAACAAGCTTTACTTACTACATTTATGCAGATAATTTGCCATGAAAATAATGGAGTTATTGGTAATATGAAAAAAAGTTGGTCTGGATCTCAGCGATTGCCTTCTGAAGATTTTATTGAAATTAATGGTAAATTGCATTTATTCTTCTATCCTATTAAATGTAAACTGCATCATTCGGTAGTTTAAAAAATTACTGACTAATACAGAGAAAATTTAACCGCAATCGCTAATACTATTAACTTTCATTTGATGTACATATTTACTCAAGAGTGGAACGCCTACTAATAGTAATCAAGTTATTCTTAATATTTGTAATTGAATCACCTAGTTCCAAAGAATCTGGACGTTAATTTAAAAGCAACAATGATAGCAGCAAGTTTGCAAATAGTATGTATTTTTCGTAGTTTATAATTCATTAGAATACTTTTTGAGGCTTGAAATATTGTTAATTCATACATTCTATCAATGCTAAGAAATAACTATTAGCCCGTATCGTGGACCACTATTTGTAATAAAACTTTAACGTAATATATGTCTTTATATTAACACTAAGACCGTATAATTTCACTAAATTACTAAATTAGGACCTACTACGCTTTCAAAGAAAAGATCAAGGCAGAAAGTGTTAAATTAACTCATGGCATACGTTGATCAAGAAAATGACAGTAATAATGTATAGGTTGCTAAAAGTATGCATGAAGATTCCCACTCGTTGCACATAGATTCATTACTTTACACCTAAAAGTTTGGTGAACAATTTAGAATTCATATCATTTGAAAATTTCTTCAATTTTTGTAACTTTAGTACAAAGGAAATGGTATCTTCGTATATTGGCTTCTTAGACAGCATACGTACGCTCGAACATCAGATTTGTTACTGTGCTCTTTCAGCCTTAATAATGATTTTATTTAAAATGTTTTAAATAGCAAATTTAATGATTAATTAAATTGCTATAGAATTCACAATTAATGCTAGCTAGTGGATTCAACTAAGCAACAGTAGACCTTGCCAAGGCTAAAGAATTTGTCATGCCTACTCTAAAATATGTACAAGTGATCGCAGAATGGCACCAAACGTCGTCAGAGACAAAATTTTAAAAAGATTAATATCTCATTAACTTTTACGTATATCTTGATATCTTAGAGGTCTACATTATAGATAAAAGATTTTATTACTTGTAATTCTTATAATATGACAACTTAGTTGTAGAATAGGCTAGTTGAAATTACTGAAGTAAAATGCGACTTAGCAGTATTTTATAATAGAGCCTTAACTTGACTGGATACAGTAATGAATTTATAAAAGTAGCTGCTCTTTACTGATTAATATTTTTAACCAACACGGTTTTTTTAATATACTTGCATTATTTCACCACTATGTATGCCCTACAATTTCTAAACTATAAGCAGCTTTTGTTGTACAGAATATAGGATAATGTTAACATGTATAACATTTAATATGACGACCTTATAACACTGATTTTAGAGAGAAATTGTGGCTACAAATTTTCAATATCTTTTATCTATGACTAGATATTATATAGTTACAGATAAACTAAACTTGCACAAATAATTTGCTAACGATATGTACTGCCACTTATTTAAGGTAAGCTAGCTCTTAATTTGATCACAGGACCATGATCAATTTCAACAATTTAAAATTAGGCGCTGATTGTATATAAAGATTTATTATTATAGTGAATATTTTATGTATAACTATTCTAAATACTTATTATTAACATTAATTGTTAATTAACTTAGGAAAAATGATCTAAAATTAACTTATTTCATTCTGCGATTTAGTAAACTATCTCTATGAAAGAACTATATACGTAATCTCTGCATAAAATGCCCTCCATTAAATACGCTAACTTATAGTAACAATAAAAACATACAGTAGATACGCTACGCCTTAGCGAAAACAAGAACTGCAGATACTCATCAATCATTGTTAATGCATTAGCTTCCAAACTACGGATAATATAAATGCTGAAGATACCCGTACTTATCGAGGTGGAAATACCGCTCGGAATAAAATTTCATCGTTATTATCAGATAAGCACTTCATAATTTCGTAAGAGTATATCTGATCGATAGAATACGATTATAGCAGTTTATTGAAGGTCGATAAGTTACAATATAGCATAATATTGACGGTAGATATTAAGATGTCCGATAGATATAGTGCGTAATGATCTCCGTCTTTTTAGTGGCAGCTATCCAAGAGATCGATGATGTGAAGCCAAGAACTCTCGATTGTATTAGATTTTTATTTAGATTATAAAGAAAAAGATAGATATAATTAAGAGTTTCAGTGCTATCTGTGACTTTTTGATATTGCCACCTATAGCTTCTACTTATTATGATCGTACGCAAAATTAAATACAAAAGTGTTAATAAAAGGTATGAAAGTACATTTTGCTGATGCAATTTCTTATACATTATTTCATGTATACTGGAGTAGTGCAAAGCGTACCTTCTAACTAGAGAGTTCTAAAATATTAATTGGTCAGATTACGGAGACATTTCATTTTTTTCTGTAAAAAGCGCATGAAATTTCTTAATTTATTCCATGCATTTCAACTCAATTATCACATAAAATAATACCTTTCCAGTAATTTAAGCTGCATCATTGTGACTTGTATCACGTTAAACAGTACTCGCTAATCAAACCGACCGTTATAAAAGTATTCAAATTTGCAGTGATTTCAACTAATTATAATAATAATAAGTTTCACAAGTCCCAATCCGACTGCAGCCTTAAGCAATATCACATACATAGGTAACCAGCAAATAAGATCAGTTATTACAATAGTGATCATTTTAGCTCCAACAATTTTGTCAGTTTTAAAAAGTGGACGTTTAGCATCTTTACGAGCCTTTGTCTGTGAAATCATTATTATAATGTACATGATAGCTATTACAATCTACACAAAGAAAGTAATGGCGCGATATGATATTAACCATATGAATAGATATCTGTTTTCAATATTGCCTGGAATACATACGCTATTAGTTACATGCAAACGGAATGATTTGTTTTGATTAACACCGAAGATAACGGGTAATCCTACATAGCTTACAGAAATCAACGAGAGTAATATTAAAGCAACACGAGTTACTGTATAGGGTAAACAAATATGACAGAAAGGATACAATAAGTATAAATATCTGTCTAAAGTAACTAGGAAGAGGATAAACGTTGATTTGAGGCTTGATATTCCAATTAAAAATGAAGCAATTGAACACATTGGGCTATGCTGTCAGGCTACTGGATTATGTAGCTACAACAGGGGTTGATGGTCAGTAATAATTGTAAAGGGACGTCCTCCCAGATACACTCAGAAAGTTCTTATTCCCCAAATCACTGCTAGATACTCTTTCTCTACCGTAGAATAATTCTTTTCGGCTTCAGTTAATTTCCTGCTAGTATACTTCAATGTTTTACTTTCAGTATGTACTAAAAATTACACACGAATACAGGGACAAAATTATTTCAATATAATAGATATCAGCGTGTAATACTTACTGTACAGTAGTGTGATATTTATTTTGTATCGTACACTAGTAATTTTCAATTCAGTAACGTCGTTTTGAGGTACTAAACTCATTAGTTAAAATAAAGATAGGTCGCCACTAAAATATTATCTTTTATACTATATGTACTTAACCGCCAATATCCACTATAATCATTCACGGTAGTTCGCAAGTTATGAAGCATCAATACAGCAGGAATGATATTTTTAAGTTAATTGATTCGTTTGGTAAAATACATGGATTTGAAATGAAGTATTCTATTCGATGGCTCACGTCTGATCGTATGCAACTTTATTGCAAAATCATTAAAATAGATTAAATTTAAAGTATTTTAGAACCACAGACAAGCTATTGGTGTTTATTCTACCTTTCCAGAGCTCAGGCTACTCTAAAATTAGAATTTTAAAAACAATTCATCATTATTTTACTTTTTCAACTCTATTATGAAAGCTATTTTTAATTCTATCTTGATTTGAGACAATTATTTTGTCAGAATTAGATTCAGGTTGGATAAACAGAATAGTTAAGATTCTTGTATTACAGACTCTTTCTTAGTTTACATATCAGAGGAGTTTTTTACAATAACGTGTACAATATCGAAACATTTTTGGTGCACCATGAGCTTAATATCGAAGTAAAATTTTTTAATTATTATCAGAATGCTTAATATACTCTACTGTGGAATACAACGGTTGCACATTTTAATATAATTAGTTCTCCATGCTTCAACAGGGTATAGTATTTCAATTTTCGTGTGTAGTGCTTGGAAGTGTGCATGCATTTATTAAGTTAGATATTTATATACTCGCATATAGCGTAATGTAAATAGCTGAGCTTGAATATATAAATTTGGCTTTCTGATTATATTATCTAATATTCAGCTTTGTTCTGCGTATTACAGTCAATCACTATAAAGTGGCTCGCCAATTCCATTTGTCAAGACCATAAATAAATCATCATAACCCAAATGCTTTGCCTCAGCAGCCTATTATAATTTAAAAATACTAAATGCAAATGACCACTATTTACAATTATTTTCTCAATTAGTACATATAATATTATTGTTTCTTTTATTGATGTCGTTATTTATTTAAAAATACTTACTGAGGGTGCAAGTTTAGAAGATTTTTCAATATTTTTCAAAGAAAACACGATTTTAATAGTGGTCAATAGTAATAAGGAAAATTATATATTTTAATAAGCATAAATTGTACTAAAAATATCTTGCTAGTAAAAACGCCGAAGTCGTACAAAGTTGTAACATCTATTGAGAGTCGCCTTATATTTGATTAAGTTGATGACTATATGTGATTGTCACAAGCTTAACTTGCGAACTGCTACTCTAAATTAATAGATTACTTATTCCTATCTCCACTACACCCGGAGGTCTACTGTGTGGTAATTCTGTACTACTTACGGTCACACAGGGATAAGACTGTACTTAATTAAGATGTGCAGTAATTTGCTCCGTAGCAATGATATACTTGGGTCACTAATATTGGATACAATAACGTCGATAATTTTAGAAAATGTTGATTGCCAATATTAGCCATTCTTGAATAGTAGTAACAGTCGATTTTTTGAATACTGCATGATGCGTAGTATTTATGAATTGATGTTCACTAATTGTGAGGATAACTAAACATGTTATGGTATTGGATATAAAGAAAAATGCAGTCTTGTCTTCATTACTGTAGATAGTTTAGCCTTCCGTTAATACGGTAAAATCTAAACGTAATCTGTTTGATATTCATAATTACTACTCACCGCGTATAGCTACATAACGAAATCTACTTCATTAACATGGATGGTG